AAGATACTGTCAGTATCGACCGTTTGAAACCAGCTTATTTCGAAGGCAACCCCATTATAAGTAACGTTTCAGCTCGCTACAGCCGACCGACGGATAGCTCAATTATCGAAATTCTTGACTATGTGCCTGGAAACGCACAGCTGCAACAACCATCGGCGCAACAGAAAACACGATCAGGTCGAACCGTCAGGTTTCCGGAGTATCTGAAGTCGTATTCAACTTAGCGAAGTGAAATAAAATGTGCCAACCGTACCTTTTTTTACTTACAAAATTTTCTTTTCCTAGGCATTTTTTCTTATTTACCGGCAATGCACAAACCCTCGGACACTGCTTTTGTATATCAATTTTTACTACCATATAATGAAACTCTTTTCAAAAAAAGGTGAAAATAAGAGTAAATTTTTATTTCTCGATATGTTTATATATAAATAATTCCCATTTTTAAGAAACATTTTCGTGGTATTAAAGACTTTTATTTGTATTCCAGGTGCAACGAGCACTGGACGCAACGTCAAAAGGAACTGAGGACCGCGATCGACGTCCAATTCGATTTATTGTATTTTATTATTTAATCGCCACGACACCATAGAATAAGTTCAGACAACCAGCGGCCACTTCACCCAGTGAGCCCATCGGAAGAGTTTTACCAGTGGAGAGACCACTGGGTATTTACTTCCGGCTGGTATCGTCTTAGGGTCCCCACGAACCCACTAGGGGGGGAGTGATCTGTAGCGTCACACACTTCCTCAAAATCAATAGCCTAGGGTTTGACGACTTTCGACATTGATGCTGACCTTGATAGTTTAACTGGACTCGATAAGCTGAAGGCACCTGGTCAAGCATCCTCGCCATTCGGCACGCTGTCGTGTTACGTTGCACTGCTCGTATTTGACTCCCTAACCAGTTAGTTGTAACGCATCGGTATTTTGGCACAACCATCCAAATATACTATTCCATCTGACTACGCTATCATGTTCTTCCTTGGTCTCGTATTCGTGGGTATATAACAAGTCCGAATAGTGAGTGATTGGTCTTTGCGTCTGTCAAGTTCGCACCAGGACAAATCCTAAACTCTCATCCTACTTCCAAATGTTACTACAATCAAGCCAACCAACTTCGACTAGTGAGCTAATAAGTATCGCCTTCTGAATTCTGGAGTACAGGGAATTGTGGTGGACAGTGGCGAGGAGATGACATTCGAATAACTAGTTATTACACATGACACTGACATTGCTATCCTGTGTTACAACGCACAACTTTTCATATTTCTGTATCAGTGAATCCGTGATTTGTAAATACTAAATAGTTTATCATTTTGGTATACTTGGCATTTCTTTGAGTTCACTACAAACTTTACAAGCGACATAAAACAGGTTAAAGGTAAACATAACTACTTGGCTGACGCCCCGTTTAGAATTAACATAGACAATATTCATCAATCCATTGTAAACTTCAAGGCTTTGGAGGAAAATCGATAGGAACATTAGGAACTGAGAAATTTAATTTCCAGCAGCAGCTGTAGCTGGAAATGTAAGCAGTCACCTTTGCCTATAAACGATAGACTTATACATTATTACACGACGAGAGATTCCCTTGACATCAAGTTCCTTAAAGCATGAGAGAGTATCCGATGAATTTCACTGGTCGTCATACACTGCAGCGAAAGCCAACGCAAAACATGTTCCTGATAGATGCATTTAGGTCAATCTACATGGGGACGGGGGAAGTCGGGTTCAGGAATGCATGACAGCAGAAATGCATGTCAACGGACGAAAGTAAACCAACATTCAGTTTCATTCATATGAGTATTTTCACAACCCGGTGTGTGGTTTGTAAATCCATACGTAGGTCTAGTGGACCAGTTGCCACATCCTAACAGTTTCAGGCACCTACTCACACACACTGATAGATGCACAAGGCCCCTGACAGCCACATTACCTATGGATACCACTGCGGAAATGGTAGCAAAGACCCCCCGTTGCACTGATTGCCGATAGGAGACGTTCTTGTGATGATAAGCACCGACAGGGAGATGCAGTTTGAATCATAGCTCTTTACTGACTTGGCTGGGCTCCTTGGTTCGCATGGAATTCGTCGTGCAGCGCGCCGGCCACAAACAAACGGCTTGATGGAATAGTTACGTCGGTAACTTGAGGCTGTCTTGATATCACGCCCCGATGCCACCTACTGGAAAGAATATCTCCTCGTGGTAGTTTTCGGAATTCGTGTAGCAATCAACACCGACGCTCAGCGTTCAGCAGTAGAATTAGTTTTCGGCACTACCCGATGATTCCTTGGTGAGTTCGTCAGCCCCAATGCTGAAGGCATAGAACTTGATCGGTGGACTTATATGGGTCGACTCAGACATCAAACGGCCATTCTGAGGCCAGCTGCTACCCGTGGGCAGGCAATGACACTTCATATGTCCAACAATATAGGCGCTTTCACAAGCGTATGCTTTCGCTGTGGCAAAGTTCGGCCACCCCTTCGCCCTCCACATGAAAGCTCTTCAAAAGTCTTCTCATAACACCTAAAATATTCCGTCATACAATGCTGTGACTCTAAGGACAGCGTTGGCACTGATGAACTTAGACCAGCATGCTTAGACAAAGATGTGCATCATGTAACCCCGGAGAAACTTCCACAACATATGCTGGACGACATTACGAACAAAAGAAGTGTTCGTAAACCAGTTAAAACAGTTAGATGGGCATGACTTCTGACGCAAAGTAACCTCACGAAGGAACAAAAGGCCAACAGATCTTTAGGATGATGCGTTTAACTGTGCGGTTTTCCTTTCCACATTTTATGTGTGTCAAATGCACGCTGTCTCTGAAGCCTATCTGATAAAAAGCGTTTTTCAAAGCCAAAAAATATTCTCTTTCACGGCGTGCTTCATTTTCGGTTGCCCGTTTTACTTCAACCTAAACTTAGAGCATCATGGTTGGGCCATCTGGCTGGCGAACGATCAAAACTCGCTGAAGTTATAGAAGTTCAGATGTTACAGATGTTCCCAATCAATAGAAAGTAGTGTTGCCTTTCGAAGCACATCTCCTCTCCCTCTAATATTATGTCGCCACGCGCGAAACCCCGGTTTCACTGAAGGTTATCTCCAGTACCGTTTTCGCATGATAATTATAAAAGGTATCCTAAAATCCACCATCTTACACCATCGTGTTCTACCCAACAATCGTCCTGTATCTCTCGATAAACTCCCAATGCATTCAGACCGTTATACGACTGCTAATTGTAAGTATCTGATTCTACAAGTCTTCAGCTTATACTAAATTCCATAACCTCTCTGTTTAAACGTACTGTTTATTGTCCCCTACCAACCGTGATAGTAACAACCAGTTGTTGGCAGATTTTCGTAACACTTATGGTCCTGGTACTCGAACCATCTGCGTCTGTGGCTGTTGCAGCTCAGCCTGGGAACTCACTGCAGGACAGAACGAAATCAAGCAGCTAATCAGGGTAATGGGCTGAGCATCTGAGATTTGACCAGCGACGTCGGTGGGCACTACACTTTGAATGCCTCTTTTGCATCTGATGCCAGAAGTAAAATATTGCGGCATTTGTGTAGTATTTTTGCCTAGCACCCGTCTGATATATATCTGCATAGCTTTGGAGATTCTAAACTCTTGTAAATGACTTCAGTACACCGAAATATTGACTGTCAAGGTTCGGGAATAATTTCATATGGTGGATCTTCTCTCGCAGGACATGCAACAGCGTTGTTATCACCATGTTTTCGAAATTGATGGGTGCAACTTAAGCGACTGCCATCACTTGTTACGTTTCCTCACAGAGAGTTAAAAATTTTACTTCGAAATTGATGTGTTTCATTTATCTGGAACCGCATTATTTGCACGGCTGTATTGAACCTGTCGCATAACTCAAACTTCAAACAAACGCACATAGCAATTACAACATACTCTTAGTTATCCGACCGAATTTCATTGGCCTCGTAACACAAACTTTTACTGATAGACCGCCAACTAAATCTTTTGTCCTCCCACCAGCATCGTGAACTTGGCTTAGCATTCTACTTCACTGATAGACGTAACGTCTCCAGCTACTATACCCCCACTATTAACGTTGTGACTCCCATTCCCATGCTCCCTTCCGTGATCTTAGCTGCTCCCTCCCCTTCCTCTGGCTCTATAACCTCCTCTCATTTATCATGGTTTTCCCTGTTACAGTCTTTCTTCCCGATTTCAATAAATTTACTAAGGGTTCTCCCCTTGTTTCTGCTTCCTTCCGCATTGTCTTTTCTCACTTCCTCTTCACTGTTTTTGCTGGATATCTCTTCATCCATTCTGTCGCCCTCTTGCAGCCAGCCTCCAAAACTGTCTAGTGATACTGTAGTTGAAGAACCCAGCTGCCTCACAGTTCCATGACAAATGATACAATCCCTATAAATTTAATCAACGATCAACCACTCGTCGAGCATACCACGGCTAGACATGTGAGTGCACAGACCTTCTGGATGGGATTCCACCGAAGGCCCAGAAACACTCCGCAAGATCTTAAAGTGAGTGTGAAGAAATCAGGTGATTTTCACAAGCTCGCTCGAAGATGTTGCACATCCGAACTCCAACTGATGTAGCCCGTCACTAACTTGCTAAGTTAACTTGCAGTACTTCCAGTAAATCGTGTAGCGGTGGGTTATGCTTCAGAAAACAGCGTCCGAAATGTTTAGCTTGTGTCCAACTTAGTGAAATCACTTCTTTTCAGGTGCTTGCTACACCCGGATAAGGCAAAACCAAAACCTAAATACCACTCTCACATGCACAGGTACAACATGAAACAAAGAATATTTAATCATATTTTAAAGTAATCGAACACATAATGTTTTTCATTTTCTCGACGACCTGGAAGTTCACGGAAAGTTGTTTTACATAGTGAACTATGGTAACGTGTTACACAATAGCCCTGGAAAATATTTCAAATGGTTGTGACAGTTCAGTAATATCCCATTACTTGAATCACATCTTTCAATGGGTTCGGAGGCAGTCAAAGTTGTTGTACGATGTCGGCCACTAAATAAACGTGAAAAATCACTTAACTGTAGTAGCGTTCTTGAAATTTTTAATGATACTGGTCAATGTTCGATTATACATCCTAGCAACAAAAATCTACCCCCTAAAAACTTTTTCTTTGATGGGTCATATGACCACAATTCAACTACAGAGCAAATTTATAACGATATCTGTTATTCTGTAGTAGAAGGGGTCACTCAGGGATATAACGGAACGATATTTGCTTACGGCCAAACTGGATGTGGGAAATCTTATACCATGCAGGGTATATCTGAGCCCTATGCACAAAGAGGTGTTATACCACGGTAAGCCATCGGTATAGATTCCAACACATATCCATTTACATTTTACTTTCGTGTGAAGTACGTAATTTTATTTGCTATAATGGTAAATTATTATTCATTATTTTGTAAGAAACTGACGCATAACAGTTTGTTATACAAAAAAGTATCAACCAGCCGCCCATTCCTACCAGATAGAAATATTTAAAGCTCATGAAAATACATACCAGTATATGCCCGGAACATTTTATTGCTCTAAAATAGGCCGGACTGTGTGAGAAGACCGTTGATGTTACTCTCTGAAAGCCAAACGAAAAGCATTTAAAAGTAGGCTATCGCAATTAAAAGCCGCCTGCGAGTTGACAGCCTATAAGTTTAGACCTCTTGTAGTAGCAGGTTTCACGCCACAATAGTGTTCATCTCGAGATCAGCAACTACAGTTAAGAACTTTAATGCTTGTCTCTTCGACAAGATTCTAAATTATTTGGCTATTAAACAGTATCTTCGGATAGCTCCATGGTTTTGTGAGCGGCACTTGTCGTCAATGGATCATCACTCAAAGCCAGTAATGAGTATTATTGCGAGGGCGGTCTGTGAAAACATCTCTTCATTGAAAGTGGTTTAGGATTTGTCCTGGTGCGAACTTGACAGACGCAAAGACCAATCACTCACTATTCGGACTTGTTATATACCCACGAATACGAGACCAAGGAAGAACATGATAGCGTAGTCAGATGGAATAGTATATTTGGATGGTTGTGCCAAAATACCGATGCGTTACAACTAACTGGTTAGGGAGTCAAATACGAGCAGTGCAACGTAACACGACAGCGTGCCAAATGGCGAGGATGCTTGACCAGGTGCCTTCAGCTTATCGAGTCCAGTTAAACTATCAAGGTCAGCATCAATGTCGAAAGTCGTCAAACCCTAGGCTATTGATTTTGAGGAAGTGTGTGACGCTACCGTGGCATCCAGGTAGTGGACATTATAAGTAAAACGAAGCACTGACTGTTTCTGGAATAAACAAGATGAAAGCATCGCACAAGTAGAGGCTGTCAAGAAATGAGTAGAGAGGTAATCCATATACCGCCATAATGAATCAATACGACATAAAGGTACGGTACATAAGAAGTTGTTATTGTCAAACACTGGTTAGGAACTTAAGATAGACCCCATGAATATACCTACATGAATTCATGAGGAAAAGAAAATTTACTGGTCAGGCAGCATGGACTACTAGATGCGTGAGCTTAGGAAACCTCTGAGGAGTGAAAACTGCCGAAACTCAAGGGTAAAAACCATCAAACAACTAAGTACATAAGCAGCTTCGACAGCCTCCTACGTTATCCTGTGTGGAAGAGATGCAGATTGCAAAGAATCGCTGACACAGTCCTTGAAAAATTGTCAAGGCTTCATGAGGTGAAATTCTTAGGATGAAAGGATGTTTGTCGATTTGTGTTGGAACAGTACACAGATGCCGTATGTAGGCCAATTTATAGTATTTTTCAACACCCTTAAGGTAAAGACCAGCTCTCACATAAGTTGAAAAGTGTCACCTTTTCCGCGTATTTAAATAAACAGAAATACGGTATCCAAAGTGCTATCAATATGCAGCGTTTTTACCAGTGTTGTTAAAAGCGATTAGAAGCCTCAAAGATAGGTACGTCGGAGAACACCTGGACAAAGTGACAATTCGTGAACCTCAACATAATTTCCATTAGAGTAGTCTTTTTCCTCTCGGATTCTGGTAGCACTTGACAAACGGATGGCATGGTGACACTTTCAGGTCTCCGTCTACCTGATTTTTTCGAATTCAAGCAAGCCCTTCAAAAACCTTTCACACGTCGTTCTCCTGTTAAAAATTTTCCTGCTGTTTATTAGTGGTCATTCGCCCTCCTGGCTGGAGGATTATCCAGACGACAGGAAATCCTACCCAGAAGGCAGCAGGGTGTTCTTAACTTTTATGTAATTTATCCTCACTTCATTTTGTCATGTATACATATACACTGTTTCTGTTTGATCGATGCTATATGTTATGCTGAAAATTCTGCACAGTATTTGCGAAATCGCTTCTCAGAATAAAGCCATAATTTTTTTCCGTGAATAACAAGGAGTTATTACGCGTTCACTACTGTTCCAGTTATTTTTGAAACACCTTCCGTGTAGTCTCAGTTCTTCAGTTCAAATATACACCGATGACACTAGTCTATGGAAAGCTATACGAACTTAAAAGGACTCGAATATACAACAAGGTGACCTTAGAGCCCTTAAAGAGTAGGTGAAAAATAACGATCCGGCATCTAACCTGCAGAAGTTCTGAACAATGTCTTTACGTAATCCCAACTTGTAGAAAGTACTTTGCTTCTACTGTGGTATATACCTCTCCCACAAAACTATGCAGAAAGATCTGGGTTTAATCTCAAATAACAATCTCGATCCTGGTTGAAATTATCCGAAAGACGCTCCCAATGCCAACAAGATATAACACTTTGTGCAAGGAAAACTGGGCCCTCACCCCACAGCTCTTTCTTAACCAACTTCATATGATGGATCACAAGAGTGTTGCACCACGAAAGCTGAACAGAGACTCCAAAGTCTTGATGGAAACCCGGAGATGAACCACAGAGGATGTCGTTAAGATAGCAAAAACTTTGCCTGAGCAAACTATTCCGTCTAGGCCTTTATACCCTCCGTTACAATTAAAAAAGTGGGGAATCGATAGGTCGCTTGCAAGATAATAAGTCGCCTGATCCAACTGAAAAGAGGAATAATACCTTACAGTCACTGTGGCACGTACAGAAAACCTAAGCAGGATCGCCTATCAGACAGCGAAACCCCGTGTGAGCTGAAAATTCAGTCCTCTACTGTAAAGTCACAGCAATGCACTACCTGCAGAAGTACCCAGTCTTCTATCTGTCAACAACTTCAGCAAACGTTCGGATGTCCTCACAGTGACGGCTGAGTGACACTCATCCAGTCGGGATGCGGTCTAGTCTGAAGCGACTAACTAGCTCCGCATTAGTCGAACTCCATCTGTTAACTTCATATTTATCCTCTTTAGCTGCCACCATTATCGTGGGCACTATTCAATCTCCTCCCCTCCCTCTAGGGTAACTTATGTGTCATCTTCGTATATTAGGTGACTCGTCTCTTCAGCTAGTGTTTCATCAATATTGTCTTCTCTATTTTCGTCTGGATTATTTACACTACAATTTTCTCTGCCCCTTTCTGTCCCCCTTATTATCTGGTATATTGTCGTGATTCATTTCAAATCACCCTAATACAGGTGTTTCTTCTCAATACTGACCTAACTTTCTCTGTGGCTCCGTCTTTATATATCTGACATATCTCACATCATCTTGATGCGAATGTAAAAGTTAAAGTGTATCCAGCCGAGATCAGTTAGGTTAGCAGAATACAGAAACCTATCTAAACACAAAACAGCAGACCATAATAAATTGAGAAATCTAGAACAGAGTCCACCCATATTCATGACCGTTGTCACAAACAACGTCACAATATAATGTGTTAGGCTGACAGTTTTAAAAATCAACTTCGGTAAGTGGAGAGAGACTGAAAGCTGAAGGTCTGTTCACCAAATTAACACGTGGCACAAGTAGTAAGTGTGATGCAACCTCAGTTCCGGATATATAGAATATTTTATTGCAAACAAATTGAAGAATGAAAAAAAGAGGAAAACCACAAAATCAGACCAGCCATTTGTGTGATTTAATTGAAATAATTTTGTGCAACTAATTCTCCTCAAAATGTCATCAGTAAACGATACCGTTTTGTCTGTGTAACGGATATGAAGAAAGAACTTTCGTGCAGTTACATTCCTCCATTGAGATAGATTTACACAGTAAAATTAATAGATAACACTTACCCACCATCACGCAATTTGAAGTAACTTGGACTGTGGTTTATATTTGCTTTGTAGACTTTTAAATCCCTAAAAAGCGTTTGGTGATTACTTATAATTATCAATAACATGTGAAGTGCAAAATACAAATATTTTTTTAGGTACTAACTTTTTATGAAGTCTGGTGATATTCTGTATTGTGTAGCTTAAATTGTAAAGCATTTACTGCATCTATCAGACAGATCGGCCAAATTTTAGGATTGGTGCTTAATAACTATTGATCCTAATAGTTACACTTTCATCTTCTTAGACAAGAGATACCCAGTGTGATTGGATTATGTTTACATTCCTTCAACAACACGATATAATAGGATTTTAGAATAAGAGGTCTCATTATACAAAAGTGATTCCTAATGCATTCAGTAGTTGGTGGTGACTTGAGTCATTGGAGTTTGATAAATATAGGTATTACTTTGAACAAGCTTCAGCAACCCTACTTTCCACTCATAACTAATCATTTTATCTATACCCACTGGCTCGTCTAGAAACTAGGTCCCTTCCTGGTTATTTAGGGTCTTGTATTATGAAGTTTTTCAAACAGTTGTGCATCACTAAAATCGCTTTATCTGTAAGTTATTAAACTACAACCAGAAGCACAACTACATCAGATCTTTGAAGTTTAAAGGTTCACGTAGTACAATTCAAATAACAAAGAACGAAAGGTTAGAAAATAACAGGAATCCCTGCCTTTTTCGGCTGCTTTTTAAGAAGTAGAACATAGGTAACACTTATGAAACGTCAATAATTAAATACTGTAGCTAGTAAACTAAAAAAATATTAGTCAAGACAAATGCAGTTGCAATCGAGAAAAATAGCTAGTGAAGGTGAACAAATATTACCCAAGTTAGAAGATAACACCAAATAATCATTTCCATCCTACAATACTTCATGCCATCTTAAGCAACTGAAATGAAGTGAATATTTGTACAATATAATTTCCAAACGAGTTTCACAACTCAAAAGTAGTAAATGTAATAACTAATGAGAAGAAAAAAGCTCGATTATGGTGTAGGCAGGAAGTGAGTAACATACAGTTTTGCCACAAAATGTTCAGTAATAAAGGTGTATCAAACGATTAGGTTGTAAAGCCCAACTGGCCAAAGTTGTTGGGATATATGCTCAGTAAATTGAAACCTTTAGTCTCTGTCAATAAGTAATGTTAACTTGAGTAGGATTAGTGTAGGAGAAAGTTAGGAGTGACTTGATAAAGGCATAGCTTGAACTCATGAAGAGACTGACTGTAGGTTTGTAGTGTGTAGGAAAATGTAGGATGTCTGTTTTAAATCTTCAAGGTGTCAGATGTTATTAGCTGAAAACACTTGATGATATGACTCTGATTTGTTCATTGCTTACCATCGTCAAAGTTTTGGCATGTTTTCTCTAACCTTTACTGAAGTGTTCTTTAATAGTACACATTTTACTGAATTCTTCATCATTCCTTTATTCTTCACTTCTTCTTTGGGTACTTTAGTGAAAGGTTTTATGGTAGCCTGTCTGTAATTAAATTTTACTTGTCAAGCTATCCCAAAACTTGATCAACTAAAATCCACCTACTTAGACTGTTGATTTTACTGTGCACAATGTATAGTAAATTTCTGCTATAACTTCTCATGTTTATGATCACTTCAATCACAAACATTTGATATCATATTGATTTACTTCTTTTCTATTTTGACTATTGTAAAAAATAATCAGGACTACTTCAAAACTTGTTTTTTACTCTTTTTTTCCATAAAAAAAACATCAGCGCATTTGATCAAATCTTTGAAACCATATCCGTTAGTGAAAAAACTAAATATTTAGTGCATGCATCATTTCTCGAAATTTACAATGAAGAAATTCGTGACCTTTTAGGACGCGATCATAAAGCTAAGTTGGAATTAAAAGAGAACCCTGATAAAGGAGTTTATGTTGCTGGCCTGTCAATACATAAAATAACCTGTGTAAAAGACTGTCAGGTAATCATTCTTTGAAAACTTCTTACATTTATTTATCTAGTGTAAATTCCATGTTCGATTTTAGTAATTACCTTATGACTTGTGACCAATTTTTCAACATAGAAGGTAAAATATCTGGTATTTATTGCTTTACCAAGAAATGATAAGTTGGATAGAAAATTAAGAAATTATGATGATAATATGAACGACAGTTCATGGTAATTACCTCCAGACGATACACTAAAAGAGCAATATATCTATTGGTAAAGAATCCCGAACTAATAAGGGCAAGAAATATTCTCAAATGGCTTAACTAGAGACTTTTAAAATGTGCGTTTTAAGTAGTATGGTAAAAGCCAATAGACGGTAATTCATCGGGAGTAAATGCAAACTTGTTAAAACAGGCCTTAAAACACCTTATGGATTCAGAGGTGATTTAACAGTTTATCTAGCTAACATTTAATTACTACATTCATCTTAGACCTAAGTCTGTTTTGGTGTTAAAAAGGCAGTATTATAGATTATCAGCATTTTAAAAGGTGGAGAGATATCCACAATCTTTAACTCAATCAGGTAAAGATGTAAAGCCTATCTGCACCATAGACAACTTGGATGACGTGTGCGTCTTTGTAGCCAGTGTAGTTATTTCATCTAAGGGAAAAGAAAACTTTGTCTCTAGGTTCAAACCTTATAGTGATGGAAACATGACCCAAAATGGAAACCATTTTACAAAGCTTCACTGTGAGCTAAGAGGCAGTTGATATAAATCCAGAATTCTCCTAGTATATCAAACAACATAAAAGCTTTGAAATATAAATGCAAAAACATTGGTTAGTGCAGAACAAAAACTTAATTGTTTACAAGGCAGGATTTTTGGAGAATAAGCGTATTTTAAAGGTTTTAAATGCTTTTAATCTGTATACGAGTTATAGTTGTACAGTTTGAATTCAGCAGTTGTCCTACGGTCATTAAAAACAACCTTAAAACTGTCAATAATATAAAAAGACTTCCTTTCTAGAATATTATGGAAACTGGATGGAAAAATCGTTCAACTGGAGCCACATTAATGAATGCTGATAGTAGTAGATCACATTCTATTTTCACAATCTATTTGGAAATGATTGATCAAAATGAAAATTTATCTGATGATAATCATATACGAGCTGGTAAACTGAATTTAGTTGATTTAGCTGGTTCGGAAAGACAAACAAAAACTGGTGTATCTGGTGATCGTTTCAAAGAAGCTACAAAAATCAATCTTAGTTTATCTGCACTGGGTAATGTGATTTCAGCTTTAGTTGATTCCAAAGTTAAGCATATACCCTACCGTGATAGCAAATTAACACGATTACTTCAGGTTAGTTTATGACAATTGAATATTTTATGTGACATTAGTTGATGTGTGAATGACTGCTACAGTATTCTTGTAACTGGTAATCAAAGTGTTTATCCACTCATAGTTAAATGGTTTCTGAAATATGAAACAATTACTCCCTTTAATAAATTTCGATAACGCTATTAGAAGATGAAGATTATCTCACATGTCTGACATGTGAGGAAGAAAAAGACTCGGTTTCTTATTGATTTATTAGATTTACCACAGTGTAACAGTATTGTTTACTGGATTGCGTTTCGGACATAATTAATTGTCCAAAGTCGTATCAAGATAACTACGCAACTTTGAGATATCCTTTATATAGTCTTAATTTCTTCGAAGAAGAAAAAATGGAACTACATTCTACCACAATGCACAAGTCTTACTCTTATATTGAAAAAAAGACTGTCGACTTGCTTTTGTTGATATACTCTTGGGTCGGAGGGAAGATGGATTTATCAGACGACCAATAAATAGTAACCCTACTTTGATAGGTTAGTACTTGAGTTTCTACAGCTTTTGTCCGCTGAAATATAAGAGAGGCTTTGTGAGATCCTCGTTCAAAAGGATCCAACGTATTTGTACACCGGATACAATGGATGATGAGAGGAACTTTCTGACAGACACACCTATGAAAAACGGATATACATTACAGTTTGTGAACCGTTGTAAACAAACAGCTAATCGCAAAGCCTATAATTTTCTTAATCCCAAATAAGGATATATTTCTTAATGTACCATATGGAGAGGAAACCAGTAATATGATACTGAAGCAGAGATTAAAGTCTGTTATGGGTAAAACATACTATGCAGTCCAGCTTATCGTTGCTGAGACGACAAAATATCTGCTTCACCACAAACCTCAACCTCGCATAAATGATTATGCCACATTCCACCGTGTTTACCAGTTTACATATATGTATGGGCACACATACATAAGGGGGAATAATCGTGCAATGCAGACTAGGGTGAGTGAACATATACCAAAATGGCTTGAAGAATAGTTTGACACACAAACCTTGAGAAGTGCATGTGACAGACATCCATCTTCATCCATAGCAAAACATATCATCAAAATGAATCATAAGGTTAATATGAGAACAGCATTCAATATATCATATAGAAAGAGTCAGGTGAGCATACTGAAAGTGGCCGAAATGTTAGCCATTCGTAGATTTAAGCCTCCGTCATGTATACAAAAACAATTTGTTGTTTCACTTTTATGAATTAACCTTTGTAATTCTAATCTGATTATATTACCAAGACTGGTGTCATAACCTTTTCATAATCATTGTATTCGACCTTTCATTTTCATATATAGATTGACTTGTTAAGTAAATATGTGATCAGATTGCTCGAAATGTACCGCGCAAATACATCACATTTTTCAGGCAATCCTCGTCTTCTAACAGCGTTATCGAAATAGTTTCTGCTTTCAAAGTGGCTGTTTATAAACCATAACATTTTGTGCTTTTCACTCCTTACATGAAAACGGTTGCCAAGAGGGAGTTTTTCAATCTTTTTCTCCACTGCATATATCAGTATGATAAACAGTATTATGTTCATAGAATGAAATTCGCTCGCATATTTTGGCCACTCTCATTTCTTGCTTCTATCGTCTCTGGTTACAGACACCTATATTACCACACCGTGACAAAACGTCATTAAAAAACAAGCAGATATTACTTGCTTTTGAGTTGAAGATAATTTTACTTTCAAGGTGGCATTCATGAAGGATTGACACCAGTCGGAGAACACTGGAAAAACTTGGAGCACTGGACACCTGTTTCATCCCTTTATGGGACTCCTTAGCTGTACTCACCCACAACCCCACCAGGGATCGAAATCAAGACCATCAAGTTTCATGGTGGATGCGTTAGCCATTCGGCAACTGGGTTAGAGTCTACAGTTTCCTACTTCTGTCAATTCGCGATGTAACACGACTGATGAGGAGTCCCGTATTAGTACGAAACAGCTCTTCGGTGCCCCCAGTTTTTCAGTGGTTTTTTAATTGATGCCAGTTTATGATGAATATCACCTTAAAAATATAGATATCGAGTACGTTAAGTAATGGGTGGCTCTCTTGCCTTGTGGCCCAATGGATAAGACGGCGTTTGAAACGATTGGCAGTGAGTTTGAGTTTAAGTGGAAATAACATCACTCACTGTGGTGCAAGCAAAGCCAGCTGACGGGTCCTAAATGGGACGAAACGCGTACCCTGTATTCCACTGCTAGCTACCAAGTAGACAACAAGAAACTAAGCATATGACTGCATTATTTACATGAATTCTACATGCTTCATGACTCCTTGCGTCAATACTTCCAGTAATTTATATTCTAATAACAACCATTTATTTAATTTTGTAAGAATGATGAAATGACATGTTTACCGTAACCAATGAATCTTTTTCAAGAAATTGCAATACGAAAGATATTTCCTTGATACTTTGGTAAAACCTTCACAGACACCTATTTCCTGTAACACTAAGTTTAACGGTCTTCATATGCTTCGTTACTGAATTTTTAAAAACATACGGAAATTTAGTAATATACAAGTGCAATTTTTCTACACTTATGTGTTGGTCTGAGTAACCTGAAGTTGCTTCCGATCAGTTTCGGTATTCCTCATAATGTACTCGCATAAGTTCATGTGTCAACATATAATAAACATATAGTTAAACCATAGTTACGTTTCGGTTTTGATTCAAAATGTAGTATCCCTAAAGCATTCAACGACATTTTATGTAACTAACATATGCATTCAGTAAACACGTTCATTACTCAATCTGTTAACTGCGCGACCTGAGTTGCCAACCGCCCGATAAAATTTCTAAGTTTTCTTGTGTTAGAAATAAATACACCATGTATGCTGGAAAAAGCGGGCTAAACGGCATTTTGTACAAGCTGACCTCATCAACCACATATTTCCCTTGTCAGTCATCTAGAGACAATTGTCGATCAGTTTCAGGAGTAAAGATAGCGGGGTGAAGTTGCTTATATATCTTTATGGTTTAAATGTAGTACAGTAGAGGTCCATTATTGTTCCTAAAGGATCAGTAAAGGGTGCAGATACCATGAGATTTACAGATAATTCTATTGGTTCACAACACGATGTGAGAAACAGATCTGCAGCTGGTTCAACCTCGATTTTTGAACACTGAAGTAACGACCTCTCATATAATCAATTCTAGAAGGGAAAACTAAGCTGGATAATTTATTACCTGAATCATTACTTAGGACATAGAATACTAATATGAGATCTCTTCTTAGTTTCCAATAATACAAAGAAGAAAGACTAAAACAGTTCAATAGCCCCTCATACTAGAGATTTGAAAGTGCCGTTCCAACATATTTGTTCAGTATTTTAAATATGGGCTTGCCACTTGAATTCAATATTCTAAATATCTGATGTACGTTGGATATAATATCTAAAACATATTCTCATCAAAGCACTGAAAGGTCTAATGAAGGAACCATAGAATTTGAAAACATTTGGTTGTCAATGAAACCTAAACGCTTCTTCTGTAAAATCGTGAACTACAAGAGTTCGTTAATCAAGTGGTTATGCAGATTGTTGTGACCAGTATGGATAACTACACTTCTGTTTGGAATCATCCCCGATGACAGTTTCCTAGACCATTCCATTAAGTTGCTGACATCTTGTTGTAAAATCAACCTATCGTTGTTACAGCAAATAGTTCTCCTGATTCGTCAAAAGCCCTAAGCGAAAAGACCTGCCAGAATCGTTGATAAGATCAATAAGTGCATCTACTGGAACGTTATTACGGACTGCTGCCATTCAGGCTTTCCTCTACTGAAGAGATTAGCCAGACGAAAAACAACAGCAAGCGTTTTCTTTTTGACATGCTACAGGACAAAATTAAGGATGATTTTTCCACTAGTTTCACAACACTACTGATTAGACACAGAAGGTTACTTAAAAGTCACACTTTAAAAGACCCGGCTAATGATGCAATTTGTTTAGTTTCTCACTCCTTTCAGACGATTAAGTTACTGTGGATAATGGTCGCATCTACTAGTACCAATAGTATACACGACTTGGGCTGATTTGAACTACTATATCTCTCAGTTCGTACTCATGAACATTTGTCAAAGCTTCATTGTAGTTTTCAGAGGGAAATTCTTTGAAGTAGTCCACCGAGACTTAAGCCTTGGCTATATCGTATTCATTCAATCCTGTCGAACCCTCAGCAAGAACTAGGGTTGAGATTGTACCCCTTTTTCCTGTTTTTCCTCCTAATTTAGGAAGGAAGTGGTTTAGGCCAGTCCTAGGAGTCCCTTTTCAGTTTCATTTCGTGCATTTTCCAATAGTGATTTTTAGTTTTGTGATATTTACATATAAGCTGTTCAGAAACAGTGAAAATGATCAGCTTCCATAACCTATTTCTACGTCTAAGGAATTTTTCGACTTATGGAGGACAATTAGTTGCTTTACGAGGATTCTTTCGATGGATAAGGTCGAACGTAACTGATCTAAGTGTTTTTTTAGACTTCTACCACTCATGATCACCAAATGAATCAGTATTAACTGATTAGTCCGAAAATGTTACGTGCACCCTAATAACCATTTTTTGCACAACATACTTTCGGATGAGGTTGAATATAATCATAAGCCATAGTGTGAACTGTGAGGTTAAGTATGTCTCATTGTATGGTCTATATTTCCTGATGGGGGAGAACATAGAAACTGGACATGTCATCCACTTTATGTGTTAACACTGGGTCTAAAAGGGATAACTCTGGCTAGGATCCAAGTACATTTCATGAACGATTTGTTGTATAATGGCGCGCTCTGTAACAGATATAAGCAACATATTTTAGAGTTCATTACTAGACCCCAACGATGACACTTCGACCTAATTTATAACAATTACATTAAGGTTGCCTATTATAAGTCTAAGATTGTTGCTACGGCAGTATTAAATCATGAGCCTATAAAACTGGATTACGATATAAGGAACCTATCACAAGCGTGTATCCTTTGTGTCTGTCATAACCGGCTCACGCAGTTAAGCACTTAATGTTCAGAACATTGGTGAAATACATTACTACACCTCCACCTTTAAGACCGTCTATTTTATCTCTACAAATAACATGAAACCATGATGACGTTGGAGTTATCTTCAGATTAGGAAATTGTATTATTTCGTGACAGCTAACATGTTTGGATGAATTCCATCCATTGAAAGCCCTAGTTCCTGAAATTTGTTCCCAAGACTCCAACTTTTGTTGCAACACATTCGTAATACCTTTAAATCTCTTGGCTCACTCGGACACTACAAGCTTTTTCTCCTCCTTTTGAAGTCTTACTTCTACTTCAGTCCGCACCTCCTAAGTGATACCACACTCCCTGGATCTGCTTACGTTAGACAGGAACTGGTTTCACTGGTCACCTACGCCTAACCAACCTTTGGAAGCCTACGGTGAGAGAATTGACTTTCACCAACTACTTTCTTGCCTATGCTAACCATATATTTGATGAGTAGACTGGGGGACTTTCCCTGTGTAACGTTCCCCAAAAAGGAATCCTACTAAATCCGGATGGTGGGAGTGTCTTCTTACGGCGCAAAACTCTGATGACTCTGAAATCAAATATTATGAAATCTTAAGCAGTTTGACTTCTAATAATTACGAAAGTAATGTCTATGCCGGATTTCAGAAATATTTCGCCCTCCATCTAGTGGTTTTTCCTAACAACACTGCAACTGTTTTTCTGTACCATTAATACCTAACCCTCATTTATCTGCGCATCACTACCTAGATTTACAAAATCCTTGACAGTCATATCAAAGTCATTCACAAACTCCATCCTTACCTGTGAACTCCGGCTGAAAATGAATCAAGATCTGTTAACTTTATCTAAGCTACCCAGTTCTACAAGCTTGGTAATTAAGTAGTACTAGAAATTTCTGCATCCTCAGTAGACAAAAGTAGACTGTCTGGAAAATACGGTATAATTTGGAGGGTCAGCGTAAATTACTGATGAGTCCAACATAGAAACAAAGTTTTTTGGTTTACATGACATCGAGGATGAATATGTGATGACACTAGCAACTTCATCATCAGACGTTATATTACTGCGATTTTCATAAGTATCCTTTGCACACTAGAGTGGCAGAGGGCAGTAACAATAGATCCATAGCTTCCTGCGCAATAGTGGATTTCGGAAAGAAAGGTCGCATATCCTCTGAGTATACGATTTGCAACTGCTCCTGTACTCAGTTGGTCCCAGGTCAGCACATATTTTACAGCACCACTTACCGCAGTTATCTCACTCCCACACTTTCATCCACTGTGAACTGATAATTATGTCTTCGATAATGATGAAAATGACCAACCGTTATGAGTACAACAGTTGCTAGAAAAAGCTTATAAAAACTGGCAAAAAACCTAACTAGATACTAGACCTTAAGGAAACTTTTCTCATACCGAAAAAACAATCAGTGACGAAAATTTTGGTTTCGATACCATAAAACCTGAAAGAAAAGTGATTTAAAATCCAAGCTTCAACTGAATAACTCTGAGTTAAATTTTATGGGGAAGCTTTGAATGACAACAAAAACAGCCGAATTTATCAGGGACTTCAAAAAGTCACTTCCTTGTTCAAAGCGCGAGTATTCGATTTGTAGCTTTTTAATATGCAAGTTCACTCCAGTTCACTGATTGATTATCTCTGCCATGCTAGTCAACGTCACCTGAAATACCCTGTGAAGCGTTTTCCAAATAAAACCACAGCTCACAGAATAACTCTCTATCTCTCTCTGAACATTCACATGCTCAGCAGCAAACACTCGACACAACTTATTGATTTGCATTCCTACGAAGGTAAAAGTAGTTCTGTTTTACCCGACATCTACTTTTATCGTGGAGTAACCAAAAATACGAATTCTCCGGCTTCTTTTCCAAATGTAATCGAACATTCTGTAAGCTGCAGTTTTTCACTTCGATTTTCACATTCAGCTTTGAATAAAATTTACATTATACAATATTCGTTTTTATACTCTAGCTGTTTAAATACATTTGTCTTTCTAAAGTAACGTCCAAAATCCTTTAAGTAGAGTCTATTATTTAGTCATAATGGCATACAATCGAAAGAGTCTACTATGATTGGTCAAATTATGCGACACTGTTTCTGTTGGAAAGTTTAACAGCATACAGACAAACTGGTATACATGGGAGTACTAAAATCAATAGCATTCTATATTTTATTGCATGTTTACAAAATCTACCAGGATATCTTCATCAGGCAATCGACATTTCGTTTCCTAATTTGCAACTGCTCAAATAGGATTCTTTGGGAGGCAATACAAAAACTCTAATGATAGCTTGCTTGTCACCAGCAGATAATAACTATGATGAAACTTTGAGCACACTACGTTATGCTAATCGGGCGAAAAATATACAAAATAAACCTAAAATTAATGAAGATCCTAAAGATGCATTGTTACGTCAATATCAAGATGAAATAAAACGTTTAAAAGAACTCTTGAATAATAGACAATTAACACCTACAACTTTTAAAGTGTTCAATATAAAAGAAAATATTGAAGTGCAAGATATTGAAGTAGAGAAAGAGAAATTAAGACAAGTAAGCTTGATCAGTTATTCTATGTCCTTTTTAAAAATTTAATATCTTGATAACTGAATATTCTGTGTGTGTGTGTGTGTGTGTGTGTGTGTGTGTGTGTGTGTGTGTGTGTGTGTGTGTGTGTGTGTGTGTGTGTGTGTAGAGTAAGATGAAAAGTAAACATTACAGCAAAAGAAACGTAATGATTGACCACAGTAATAAACAACTCGAATAACTGTTTGAGCATTATACCAGATAAAGTACAAATAATCTCATCTTAGTTGACTGATAATCAATATTTAATTTAGTTATTGTTACTGCGATAAGAATCATATTTATAAATAATCACTACTTTCTACTAAAATACACCTTTCAGTTTTTAATAATTATGGACCTGTTAAGAAACATTTCAAAATATCCAATGGTTTAGTGTAATATATGAAGTCGCTCCAGCTTGTCATTCCATTCAAATCTACGTGAACAAACAACTAAAAGTGTTTTGAAAATAGTATAGTATATTTACTGCAACCAAAAAAATGCAATTATAGCCGAAAGTATAGTCATTTATATACTTTTTTTAATGGCCTTGACCAGAGAAAACAAAATAGTATATTCAAAGTGTTAAACGTATCAATCACCGTTTAGTATCTTAAACTGTGATAATAATAAGCAACGTTGCTTGAAGCGGGAAAGGCTCGGAAATGAGGTTTAAATTTTACAATGAAGATATTTACATATTATGTTATCATTTTAGGAATCACACATGCCTAACAACGTTTATAGGGAAGATGAATAATGGCTTACAGTGAAATTCAACAACGCACATGTCATTCTATTTAAGACTCATCAGTTGGAAGTACTTGCCTTCCAGTTTTAACGTTGCTGTTCCCACCAATAGTGGGAGACGGCATCCATCACCTAAAACATCAGAGAGTCATCCATTAGGCTTACTGAGTAACGACAATCACTCCTTGTACAACAAATATAGTGGTTAGCGGTGAAATACAAGGACTATATGTTGTCCTAATCACCTTTTGACCGAACCAGTATATGACCAATACTTAACATTAACTTACCTAATCTCACTCCAACTTGTATAGTTGATAATGTCGATTATCAGATGGTATTGGACTTGTGTATTTTCTGTAATCTGGATTTGAATGAAATACAACATACCCGTTCAGTTCTTTTTAAAAAAATTCTAATGGATGGAGAGAATACTAAACATTATGTTAGTTGTAAAATAAAAATAAACTTCTACATTTATTCTGTCAGCATTTATTTTAATTTGAGGGTTTGTGGGGTTTTATTGATTTCAAGTTGGTATTCATCATGGACTGACATCAGTTGGAGGAACATCGGGAACTTGTGGGCACCCAACAGCAGTTTTGTACTAGTTTGGTACTCCTTAGCGGTGTGTACCCAGGACTTTCAGGTTCCACGACCAGCAGGTTATTATTGAGCTACTGGATTGGAATCCAACGGTCCGTACTTTCTACTTCTGTCAGTTCACGATATAGTAGAACTTTTATTCAATACCATTGTTGAGTAACTGTCCTCATGTTCGACTTGGTTGGCCACACCGGTCACGACTTCTTATTGAAACTTTGCAGATCACTTCACGAAGCGAGTCACCAATGAGGACTAGATTGCTTCAAATTGGAGCTTTGTGGGGATTCATTCATTGATTTCAGGTTGGTATTCATTATGGACTGACATCAGTCGAAAGACAGATGGAAGATGAATACCAAATTGAAATCAATGCATTCCCACAAACCCTCCAAATACCATGAAAAGTAGTAAAACAAAGTTTCAAAGTTATTTGTCTTGATTTTATTATTTGTCCTTTGGGTTCCTAGTAGAACATAGGGCTTCAAAGTCCATCCGGTGAAATCCATGTCACTTTGTGACTATCCTTGTGTTTGTACACACTGCCTGACTCCAATCACCAAATTGTTGAATGCACAGAAGTCTGCAAACAGTTCTCCGTTCTCATTAATTTCACTGAGTGCCTCTTGACCCATGATTGGTTCTCTTCGTGTGTTGTCTGCTCCGAGTTTGGCATTCATGTCACCCCACCCGTTGGAATGAATTTTGATGTCACCAAGTGGGGAGGGGGCCTTGTTTATTACTAATTGCAGTTGTCTGTAGAATCCCTCGTTCTTCTTTTCGTCTGCATCATTTGCAGGTGCGTAGTGTGGCGTAGCATTGTATGACTGTGACTTTCCTTTTTGATTTGAATCCATCTTGCTGTCATGATGCTGATCGTGCAGGAGGAGATTGGTTCCCACTGGGTGAGAGAGAGCCTTTGATGCTGTTGGGGAGATCATGCTAGGCACTCCAAAACTGAGTGTGCTCGTGGTTGTCGTCTGGGTGACAATATGGGAGTAGATTATTGACTCCTCTCTAGTTGACAGTTTGGTGAATCCACTTCCATTCTATTTGCACATTCTTTGCAGATTCCTAGCACTTCTATGCTATACCTTCTGATCTGTTTTGCAATCTGGGCAGCCTTGCTATTTTTGAGCATGGTGTGGACATTTCATGTCCCCATGTTTACTTTCGTTTTCATCGAGAGAAGAAAGACACATTGGCCGATTGGGTTCTCGAAGGCTTCTACCAACTGGCGTCATTTCATCTCTCCAGTACCAGCGAGGAATAGGTTTAATTTTATGTTCGATATTTTGTTTGTGCTTCAAAGTTTCTTAAGTGGTTAGATTGGTTTTCCGGGGTAGGGTTGCCAGCCCCATGCCCAACCTTCCCTCTTTATCCGGGGTTAGGACCTACTAGTAACTAGTTAACCAGGCCAGGTTTACAAACCCCCAGATTTAACTGGTTTAGTGCTCATTGGTGACTAGCTTCGATAGGTGATTCGTGAAGTTCCAATGAGAAGTCATGACCGATAGGGTAAACAAACCAAGTCTGAAGTGAAAACAAATACTGAAAGATGACAGTGGGTGATAGTCCCACTATGTCATGAACTGACAGGAGTTTGGACCATAGACCACTGGATTCTGACCCAGTGGCTCAATGGTAACGTGCTAGCCACGGAACCTGAAGGTCCTGGATTTGACTTCAGGCAGGGGGGTCATGGGTGTGTACTGTTGAGGGGTTTAAAACTAAGAGGAAACCGCTCCCAGGTTTGGAATGTTCCTCTAACTGATGTCAGTCTATGATGAATACCATCTTGAAACATTTATTGAATTTAAAAGCCATATAAATAGTTCTGAAAATTTAATGAATGCTTAAGTAATACTGTTATTTGCTTTGCATTCTGCATATAGGATTATGAAACAAAATTAAAGGTTATGGAAGCCCAGTACAGTGCAGAGGCAGCTGATAAAGCTAAAATACTTGCCGATATGACACGTTTAAGGGAATTCTATGATGCTAAAATTTCCGAGTTAAATACTCATCATGGGTCATTGCCAACAACAGATCAATGTAAGTTTAACAATTTTTGTCATGAAAATAATTTGATATCTCCTGTATTATGGTTGTTCAAAAGTAGGATATTATGCACACAAACATCGTAGAGAGTTATTATACAGCTTCGGCTCTCTTATCATCAAGTATGGGGGTTTTATTATTCAGCATTTTTGAATCTAATCAGTGGGTTATATGACTCACTGATTGACTGACAAAATCAACGTAGAGACTCGCACACAAGTGGATCGGCTCAAGTTCCCACACTTCATATCAGTACACAAAGAACAGGTGAGTAGAAAATGACTGATATCAAAGAAAATAAATTAGTGTGAGAGAATGAACAATCTGAAGATAAAGGTCAGTGAGAATATTCAAGCTTCAGAAGATGTCAAGGAGTGGATACATCTGCACTATCGTGACCGATTTTCAGCCATGTCAGCAAAAGTCCTCAACCCCTGACTCCTTCTCGTCTCGAGGACCCCAAACAGACAGTCTGTATTTCCCCACATAGGTCAGACCAACAGTTAGGCACTTCAGGGACTGGTTACACGTCTTGGTCCGGGCACCCTGAACTCTCTTTATTTTATGTTAATAGATTGGGAATATCCAGAGCAGTTCAAGCGTTATCATAGATCTTGTTTCGTAAACAGATTAGTCTAAATGATCAGAAGCCTATTTTTCAACTTCATAAATGAGACTAACCATGATTTATACTGGATGACGATTAAAGGTGAAATGAAAATTTGGACCGCCGACGGATTCGGACCAGCGACCACCGAGTCAAGGGCCCGATGCTCTACTAACTGAGCTACGAGGTCCCTTATTTTAAAAAGTAACCCTCTAGTTCAGTTAGATTCGAACTGGATTGAGAAGTACTGACTAGGCAGTCAGTGTGAACACGATCAAGTGGTAGTAACGCATCAAGAATTCATGTAGTAGTCGGGCAAAACCCTTGGTAACTGAAGTGAAATAAAAATGTAGTGAGCAGTCGGACCTTGCAGCTCAATTGGCACAGCATCGAACCGGAAAGCCAGTGATCGTTGCTTCAAATCTGGCCGTGGTCCAAATTTTCATTTCACCGTCACTCATCACCGAGTAGAAATACTAATCTGCCAAACTACGGCTATCTCAGGAGTCAAATGCTAGCCACAACTGTTCTCGGGAGGCTCAAAAATTATCCCTAGATCTACTTGATAAATCTTTAGGATGAGAGTAAATAATACACCTTTGCAATTTCTGTTTAATGGAATCAAATACAATGCACACTGGTAACTGTCCAGTGGTATGGTACGGAAATTGAGTAACTTCATAGACCTATTTCTAACAACAGCCATAAACAAACAAAAAAATACTCTAAGACATGCTTTTCAGGATGTAAATGCGAAGGATACACTTTTTATATCTGACGACGTGTTTACACTGCAAATTCCTCACAGATATAGGAGTAGAAATATGTAGTGTATCTGAAAAATATGAGATAAGAATACTTCTTTTACATCATAATACAGAAGATAAATATGCCAACAGAGTAATGATTACAATATTAATTATTTTGGTCTAACCAACTGAAAATAACATACTTTGAGTTGAATGAATTGTATAACAACTATGAATACTGTATGGACGGTTTCCTTAGCATACAAAGGTCAACTAATATCAGATAAAAACTGAAACAATAGCATACCAAAAAGACTTTATTCCTAGAATACGTTAAATGGAATGGTGAATTAATTTGAGTGAATAAAACATCCTAAATTGAGGTTACCAAGCAACAAATAACAATAAAAACCCTAGGGTCTACAACTATGGCGATAGGGGAATAATTAGGCATAAGACAGAACATGAATTCAAAGGAGATAGGAATTAAAGTTATTTATTCATTTCAAACTGCTTACTTTGATTAAACTAGCAACAGATATGATGAACTAAATCATAACTACTTGTAGTTCAAAATCTACATTACTGATTAGGGAATTCCAGGTTCTTGTAATTCGGTTGGAAGTTATCAAAAGAACTTCCTTGACCTAGGTTTCATACTCGTCAGAAAAGTGTGTCTTCAGTGTCAAGAGAACTAACTGCCCCTAAGCGATTCAAACTCACGTCATTCAGTTGTGCTGTCTGAGAGGTTACCACTAGGCTGTTTGGACTACAGTTGACCTCCTATAAGATTGGACTGGATGTATTGATTGATTACTGAAGAGTAACCAATTTCATGTTGTCTAGTCCTATCTACTAACCGAATTCTACCGATTGTTTTGAAAGGCGAGGAAAATGACCATCATGGTGCACTCTGGTTAGTTTTAGATTGTTGAAGGCCTTTAGCATAAAATTCTGATGTCTCTTATCAACAAAGAATATCTGCAACCTCATGGGTTAGATCTAGTTTATTTGAGAAAAAATTATCATGAGTATACTTAGACCGCAAAGTCATTTAGTTACCTTTTGTAATCCCCTGTTTTAAAGGTTTTAATTCATTTATGAGTTCAAATGTGTTTTAGAGCTTTCGGCTGAACATTTTTTGTACATGAAAGCTGCTTTCTCAAGCGGTTTAAATAACTTTTCATCAACGCGCAGCATATTACGATGGTATTATTTTGAAATGGTGGAGAATATTTGTAGTTCAAGTGAATGGTTCTGGTTCTATTGTGTTCTGTGAACTGGACTGTTTAATCGTGGAGCTTGCACCATCTTTCTAGACGACATCAGCACTAACTTCTGTATGAAGTGAACTGTCAATATCTCTCTGTGGATGATTTGGTAGCTTACCTTCTGACTGAAGCAGAGGAACAGCCAGTGGTAAAATCTATACAGTCAATGGCACAACAATCAAAGGAAACAAGCAATCACAAACCAGTTCGCCAGGGCAAGCTACTGAGTCACTCACGGAAAGATATTGATAACTCACTTCATACATAAATTAGTGCTGATGATGTCATCTTGGAAGACTATACAAGCTCCACGACTAAATAACCCACCTCAGGGAACATAATAAAACCAAATCAGTTTAAATTTGCGACTTGTAGACTGATTACGCTCTCACAATTGTATAGATGGACTTGAAAGATGAAAGGTTTATGCTGTAAATACCTTCAAATATTCCGTCTTATATGCAATTGCATACCAGACCATTGTTTAATATGAAAACTCTCATTACGTATTCTCAAGGTTGAAATTCACAAGGCATACTCCTCTAAGGAATCGATGTAATCATCATTGATATTGGCCTCCATAAATCCTCACATCCTTAATACTTTTCTCTGCAAGATGCAACTAATAATAACTATATTCCAGACAATAAAGTTTATACAATATGGCATTCTCAGTATATATTATTTAAAGAAATTTACTCTAAAGGCAACAATATGTAACTATCAATTGTTACTAGGTTATTGTCTTATCTGAAGGAGGGAATGAACAGAAAAACGTGCGTAAGTTTTGTACGGACGGTGAATCCCTCAACCAGTACAAAATTATACAATCCAAGTTAACTATTTCACGAATCAATATACTATATACCCTTGTGTCCTAAAAAGCCTGTTGTCATGTACCACGACGTCTTTTCTCCATTTCATTGTTAACTTGTAATACGGTTGCTTGAAAGTTAGAAATTTTATGCAACATATTCAGTGGGAAATGTTTGGAAGCCCAAGTTTCAAGTAGACCGCCAATGATCACAACTTGAGGAACCTAGTTTTGTCTTGAATGTGATGTTACGATATGGTTAACGAAGTCAAAACCAGCATATGATATATCCCATCTTATTGGTAAACATAAACCTATTAGTTAATCTGTGCCTAAATTCTACTTGAAAGAGTAATAGTGAGATAAGTGGAATGAAAAATAATTTACTTAATAACCTTAAATATTGAATGAAGTAAACCGAAGTTATATCAAGTACAAGTTTCAGAGTTTTTAATATTTCGTCGCAGTTTCATCATCAAGATTGGTGACATCCTCATCACTATCTTCATTAGGCCAAAAATATTTTTCAAAATTTTGAGTTTTCAGATATACGTTGTATATAAATTGACATGGTGAAGATTTGATGAGCACAAGGGTCATACAATTGATGTCCACAAAGCAATACAAAGTTATATTTCATCAGAATGAAAATCATTAAACAAAAAACCCTGTTTTTAATTTTACTATTTGACATTATTTGGTTTTTTTTACCTGAAGTTCTTGATGACAATCGTGATAAAGTTAGAACATACACCCCATACTCGACAATGAATCATCTACTTCAAAGACAAATCGAATGATCGATTACACTTGTTCGAGCACATATGATACTGTGAAACCACCTTCTAATACAGACACCTTGAAAAGTAACCAAAGTTAATCAAGTTTATGGGTTAATTTTTGATGTTTCTCAAGTTTGTTTGTTTACATTTTGCAGCATCTTTAAGACTACAAGTTCTAGAGTGCTTGCATACAATCATGACAATCCATTTATCTATGTAATTCTGTACTATATGTATTTCAAAGTACTTAATGTCATTACGATGCAGCTCATTAATTCATAGAAGGTAAAATCAATCACACCATCAGACTGCGTTAAGTTGTAATAATTCGAAAAAAAATAATGAAAATATAAGTGCAAAACTTGGGCACTGTGGTGGAATTTAATTCCATATAAGATTTGTTCGTTTCACTTATAACACACAGGGATTCAGTATTGTTCAGCTTGAAGACGTTTCGAGCATAAATTATCATTGCTCATAATCATATCAATGTAATCACACTACTTTCCATATCTGCTTTTTATGGTCCTGTCACTTCTAATTCTTTATTCCTATTGGTAGTAAAATTTTCCATATTTCTGGTATAGGCGTTGCGTCATTCCAATTACTATATGTGTTGGGTGCTGATTCGATGAAATAAGATTCAGTGATCAATCTCTGTCTCTCCCCATCTAATTATATTGGACTTAAGTACAGTGGTTTTATCTCACTCGAATTTAGTTAAATGTAGAATGACAGACCCTAATAAGATCAACAATCTGGAAAAACACTCGGTTATTACAGTGCATACATTAACCCATAACTACACAATAGGATGAGAAAAAAACCATTGTACTGAAATCCATTATACTTAGGTAGATAGAGAGATTGATTATTGAACTTTTGATCATCGAATCAGCACCCAACACATGTAGTAGTGAGAATAACGAAAAATCAATACCAGAGATGCGGAAAATTTTACTACCGATAGAAACAAAGAATAAGAAGTGACAGGGCTATGAAAAGCAGATATGGAGAGTAGTGTGATTATACTGATATGATTATCAGCAATGATAATTTATGCTTGAAACATCAAGTTAAATAATACTGTATCACTGTGTGTTATAAATCAAATAAAAAACAAATCTAATATGGAATGTTATGCAGTCTTACCAGTTAAAATGGCGAGGAATAATAGGGAGACAGAGACGAATCAACATGGAGTCTTTGACAACAGTATATCAGTCCAAATCATCCTACTGTACACCATTACCCAAAAAGGAAACAAATAGAAAGTGACTGACACTAAAGTAGAGAGAAGTGTGCAGTAACAAACAGATCAGTTCGTTGATGGTCTTTGAAAATATTCAGAATGACAAAGATGATAGATAGTGAATTTGTACTGCACCAATGTGACTGATTTTGCACCGCATCACACCAATCGGCTCCAACTACTGACTCCTAATATCTCAACTGTCTCCAGTCGAGTAACTTAGACCGCTCTAAATGTTCCAGACTAAAATTTGTGAACTTCGCTTATTGGTGTCCTTTCTTCACCAGAACTGTTCTAGGTTTGTTCCACCCTAATCCTACTTCTTCTTGCTTACTGTATGAAATGAAAAATAATAAGTTGAGACTGTGTAACGGGATGGTGAGAGCTGAAGTTATGATAGAATTGACATGTATAAGCATCATTAGTCGTCATTTGAGATCTGCACAACTGTTTTTACTGTTTTGTGTTTCTACGTAATTCGACGGTACTATACCATCGTAGAATTGTTCAGGTAATAAAAACCTTGATGCTCCAACAAATAAAAGTGAATAAAAGCCAGAGGATATGTCTTTAATGACAGTTACTACTATCTCAACGAAAGATAAAAACGGTTGGCCATACCTGTGCTTACTTACGTGAGTTTCAAACTTGTCCAGAAGCATTTACGTCGATATGTTGATCATAGAGTAAGACTAACGAAGTAAAAGACTTGAAAAAGGAGAAACAAATGACATATGAAGGAAAAAAACATAAAAGAGCAAAATCCAACTGTCATAAACAAAAAATTACATTTTCAGGAAAATTTATTAGCTCTTTAGCGCAAATGCATCCCGGTTACTAGCCACAATGGATAACAGTCATCTCCTTGATAGTTAAATAAACTCTTATTAGGTTTCTCATATTGCAACCAGTTTCAGGTAAGTAGTATTTTACTGTATCCACTTCTGAATTTTGAGGTCACAAATACCGGTAAGTAAGTAGTCTTATTTACTTATCTCATTTTAAGCTGTTCAGTATTTCCAAAAGGTATAATCGATTTTCTAAAGTACCAGTAAGTAAATACTTACAATTTAATAGCATCACCTATTTCAGTAGTTGCATGTTATATTTCTGAAGAAGGGAAGAACACACTTCTGAATATTACAAACAGAGAGATGCATATCTCATCTGTACCGAATTTGGCTTAAGTTGGAAAACCTGGCTTAAACTTATATCATATCAACCAGCCGATTTGTACTAATTTTAAAACTCTTTGACTGTCTTTTTTCACAGTAAGTTTATTTGAAACTATCAGACAACTAATGTGACATACTCCCTGCTTTTTAAAGCATCTGCATGTCTATTTCATAAGATTTCTAGCAGAATGAACTAATAAACGAATAACCTTGGGAATGCTAATCTTAATTTGTCTAACATTTTATCACTTAATTATACCACCTCGTTGAAACTGGTTGTCAAATCTGAGTGTAATTCACTTTCTTTTATCTATTACACGTTTTATCATTATTTGGGTGACTCTTTTCTGAACACTACTGTTAACTGATGACTGTGACAAATTCCGGGGCTATCTGAAAGCTTCGAGCGAAAATCTGAAGATATATGCGCAGTAAAGTGATGTCGATGACCTCTGTGTGATTGGTAACGTAATGGATAATAATAATAGAGACAGACAGCAAGCGCTAACAAATGTTCCTTATCCCATAGTTCTAGCAACTACTTACTGTAATACAATAATGCTGACACACTAACGCAAATGTATGTTAACAGAAAAGTAATAAAATGATTGAGGATGGGTAGATAAAAATTTATTCTAGCCTACAAACGCACTTTATTCAGTTTTCCTATCAGCTGCCTACATTGACAGCATGAGAATACAGACGATAACATCTAATCACTTCTTGTACATTTAAATTGCTTTCTAAGAGGTGAACATGCGTTCTGTACCTATCAAATATGGTACAATGCTTCAGCAGTGGTATGCACTAACTCCCAGTTCAAATGTATTGAATGCTGGATCTGTGTGAGTAGTTGCATCAGCTATAACAAGTTCTGAACATTTTTGGCAGATAACAAACTATGACCTTATAGTCAGTGAAGTATCTAACCACTTAACAAGCAGTTAGTATACTGCACATTAATTTTCTCTTGTCTGTTGTTTAACTAGCAGTCGTTGAAAGTAAAAAGGTTAAAAAGATTATAGATTCTGACCATAGGTTTCTCCGTAACGTTGTTTCAATCTAATGGCACCACGCAGTGAGCGATGTTGAGGTTAAGCGTTGAGTACTGGATTAAGAAAACAAGACAGTCACTGTATCTGTAAGCGTTCACTGACTGAAGTTTACTATTCACATGTTATACATTTCCACCGAATGCATAGACTGGGTCAAGAAACAGGTTTATGCTGAATAAAGTTAATATTGACCAAACTAAGGTTTAGCATCTATTTATTTAGTATCCTGAGCCATTTACGTAATCTGATTTATATCCTCAATATTATAGGGGTCAATAGTTGGTGATAATAGACGTGTCTCAAAATAGATCACTACTAACCCTCAGTAAAGGTCTTAGCATTTTTTCTGGTCGTTATTTATTTATTTCCTCTCATATAATCCCCTTTCATCCGTTTCAGTGTCATTCGTTTATTATTCACTTATTCTTTTCGAACTAATACGTCCTATAACATTTTGAACTGATAGGTTTTTGTATAACGATCTACACGGATTTATCCTTCCACAGTTTTGTCACTTGGTAAAGAAACCTTCAGTTCTATTTAGTATACCAAGAATTAACTCCTTTTATGCGGCTTATGAAAAAATAACTTGATAACCACAGCTTTTCTGATGCCAAAATCCCAATATTTAAAGAAAGTGTACGACCGGTATACACTATAAAGAGTTATAAGAGTTTCTAACAGTCGAGAAACTATATACACTTATACGGTGTCAATTACTTTAAGGTCCTTGAGCTATGAAAGTTTTTTTGAGTTAAATAAACAACGGGGATTGCAGCATTTATGACGTCAAAAATATTATTAGTGAGGACAGTAAGCTTTTGCTGAATTAAAATACACGCCCACACATCACTAGGAAAGAAATTGAGTACTACATATCACTGAAAGTTAGAAGTTTATTAGTGCCTGAAATAAAGTGGAAAGTCAATGCTGTATTGATCTTGGTAACTAGTAGAGGAATCCAACACGCGTGTTTCATCCTGTCTGGGACTCGTCAGCTAGATGTATCTGCACCCCAGTGTGAGATGTTGTTCTCACTATGACTCGAACCCAGTATACTTCACTTTAAAAGCAAGTCGACACTTTATAGCAACAGGACATTATAAGAGGTGGCTACCGTGCTCCAGTGGCTTACTGGATAACGCTCTGGAGTTTGAAGCGAAGGGAACTGCGTTCCATTCTCGGTGGGAACAACATAACTCACCTGGATGCATGTACATTCACCTGACGAGTACCAAACAGAACAAAACAAGCGTCTTAGATTCCTCTGCTAGTCACCAAGATCAGTAGAATATCATGAATATCTGGCAGTATGGAGGCATCCTCATAGGAGCCCACCCTCCAACAAAGATCGCGCCATTTGGCCCTGTATAGTAACCGGAAATTGAAAGTATCATTACAAAGTTAATACTAAGTAAACAGCTAACCTCTATTTCATATTAGATTAATTGGTTTGATATAGCATACAGTGATCTGTATTGCTTGTTTGATAATGCATCGAGCACCATTCATTTCTTATACACATCGAAAAATAACCACAATTTTAAATCTCCCTCCTTATAATTGCTTTGATGTCATTCTTACTCTATCCTTAAGTAGTATATCAAATAAGGTTTACTCTGAGGTTACTATTTAACCGCCATTTTGTAATTTCTGACACATCCTGATGTAACTACAGGAGTGTTACGTAAAGAAGTATAAATCTTTACTGTTTATTTTTAATCCGAATTACAATTACTTTGTGGAGTCATTGTTCAATGTTATCGCTTAAAGTTGGTCAACTTTCCTTCCACAGTTAAGCAGCAACGTTTATCTACTCAACTTATGCATTACTATGGCCAATGTAGTTACACACCCATAAAACGATGATGTAAATTTCATTTGCTACTTCGCGGAAGTTCGCTTTATTATAAATCACTCGTTTTTCTATCTCTATCCACTACAGCAAATACAGTTGAGGATGATCAAACAGAAAGTCTTTTTGAATCAAAAATGAATCCAATTCAAACACAAACATTATCACAAGACAAAAGTAATGTATTTCTAGATTCCTTTAGTGAAAAACTTACAGAAGATGAACTTCTGAAAAGGTTTGTCAGTTATACAATCTTGCAACTCGTAATAATAATGATATATTTTCCATAAAAAATATTTGGTTTAATATGGATTTAAATTCTTTGGTTATATGATTCGTTCAAGCACATCTTTATAAGAGATTCACTTCTTAATATGTTGGAATAATATTCAGCGAAGGCCACAAGTATAGGACAGACCGATATACAGAATCAACGTAGAACCTCATATACAAGTGGATCGGCTCAAGTTCCCACACTTCATATCAGTACACAAAGAACAGGTGGGTAGAAAATGACTGATATCAAAGAAGATAAATTAGTGTGAGAGAATGAACAATCTGAAGATGAAGGTTAATGCAAATGTTCGAGCTCCAGAAGATGTCAAGGAGTGAACACATCTGCACCACTGGTGACTGATTTTCAGCCATGTCAGCAAAAGTCCTCAACCCCTGATTCCTCCTCGTCTCAGGGACTCCAACCAGGCAGTATAAATCCCCACACACGACTTGGACCAACATCCAGGGACTTTATGGAGTGGTGCCACGTCATGATCTGGCTACTGTGAACCCTCTTCCAACCGAATCCAACTTCCCCCAATATGGGACATTGAGGTAGGTGGTGACTGGGTATGTGCAATACATGTCCAAGCCATCTCAGTCAACTAAGATTCTCAACCTGATCGATCAACTTGTCTGTCTTGCGTAGGACCTTTCTTCTAACCTAAACATTGCTGACACGATGATTCCACCAAACGCCAGCAATGCTATGAAGACGCCTATGATCGAAACTCTGTAATCGCTCCACGTCATCAAGTTTTAGGAAAGTATTAGCTTGAGTGCAACTATTTTTTCCTCTGTTGCATGTGAATATTTTCAACCTGTTTATTCATGTAGGAACTCTTGGGTTTAATCTAAGTGAAAGTTAGAACCAGTTAAAACTCTACCCCAAACTCCATGAAAAATAGAAATTATATTTATTTTATGACTAACAACATAATGCTATGTAAACTACGATTTAAACTCTAAATCGTGGCAATTATGGTGAAGACCTGATCCGTTGTTTCAGTTGGGTCATCTTTTCTAGATCGTCACCAGTGAGTACGAATAAATAAGTGATTGATAACTGTGATCACAGGTAAGTTAGAAGTTAAATAGCACGATTATGGACTCCCACACCTTTTCAAAATTTCAAACCTCAATCGATTGATGAATACGACTGTACAACTTTTAAAACAGAATTTTTCGCAAACAGGAGTTTTCTTTAGAGGTATTATTTTTCAAGGACTGACATTGGTTGGGGGACTGTTGAAAAGCTGGGGGCACCAGATAGCTGTTTCGTCCTAGCATAGGACTCCTCAGCAGTACGCACCCACAACCCACCTAAGGATCGAACTCAGGACCTTCAGGTTTCATGGGTTGGTCTTCAATGGTTCACAGTTTCCAACTTCCGTCGATTCATGATACAGCGCGACTGTCACCTAAGTTCTTCACTTGGTATCCGTTTCCCTTCCGATCGGTTGACTCCACGACTTCTCGTTAGGACTTCCTGTCATCCATCTGGAAGCATGTCACTAATGAGCACTAAACAGTTATATATTTTTCAGATGAATGGAGTTTTAATTTTGAAGTAGTATTAATCACAGACTGATATTAGCGTACTGAAGAAGAGTCCCATATTAGGACAAAACAGCTGTCCACTGCTACCACGTTTTCAGTGGTTCCCCAACTGATGTCAGTTCATGATGAACACTACTTCTAAATTAAAATCCCCATTCATGAATTTTCTTCGTTGAAATCTTTGTTCTACTTTTCTCTAAACTTTGGTTGGCATCTAGTTAACATTCATGTGCTATTTCATTTGATTAATTCAACAGACTGAAATTATTAGAAGCCGATATTGTTGGCGGTGAACAAGCCGGTAATAAAGAAGTTTGTGATAAAATTACACGACGACAAAATATGCTGAAGAAAGAAGACGTCGATTAGCTGAAGCTAATGCAGATTTAGAAGATGATGGTATAATGATTGATATTTATGAGACCATACAAGATGAACTGCATTACAAAAGTAAAGCATTACAACGACAAAAGCAAAAGGTGAGGAATACTTTTTCTGAAAACTTTATAAGTCATATATAGATTAGCATACTCAAGTTGAATAGCTTTTACAGTCCTTACACTTTATTAGCTTAGCGCCCAAGAAGTTTTCGTGTATTTTGAACGAAAACTTGGTCGAAATCGAATGTAATTACAGAATTACCTGAAGTTTGAAAGTTGAAGGTATGCAGACAAAGTATTATGATTGATATTTATAAGCATAGCTGAATGTTTCTTATTCCTGAACAGAAAAATAGTTAAATAAATAAAGTATATGATAACTATAATCCCTTCTTAGATTCTATAATTACTAAATCCATACTGTTTAGTTACAAGAATGAAGGGTCTATCTAGAACAGTGGATGTGTGCAATCATTTAATCAGGGAATTGCCTTCAGTAGGAAGGCAAATGATATTCAAGAATTCCTAGTTCAATACAAGTCTACAAATATGTGAATATCAAATATTACCAAAGGATTATTACATATAACATTTGAATAATGCTTTCTATTCAACTGCTGCATTAATATATATGTACATCCGTACTAGTTTGCTTACATATGACATTTAATCCTGTGACCCCCTATACACATGCCAGCAAGATGTAATTAATTGCTATCAAAATGATAAATTTCAAAAAAAGGCAACCATAAGAATATATCACAGAGAATTTCTAAAAGTTTTCAGCAGAAAAGAACAAGGCAAACAATAAAAATCTGGTGATATCACAAGAAGGAAGAAAAGAAACATAAGGGGTGAGAAAATAAATGAATAACGAATTAGGAGATATTCAAGAGTTCAGTAAAAAAAGAAACATTGAATACCTCTTAATCAGTGTAATCGATTTCTATGGTTCCCAATAATTCTCGCTCAAAATATTATTGGTTCCACTCAAAGAACTTACACCTGATTTATACAAATGAAGTTATCAGTTTATATCTTAATAAAATGTTGGTACAGTCATCGGTCGGGCAACTGGATTTTAGTTAACTACTTTTTACTTCTACATATAACATTAATTTGTTTATTTGCATAGAATTAACATTGATAGCAGGTGATGAGTGAAGGTGGATTGTAAAGACATGCGGTGGTGAGATTCGAGTCGGTGCCCTCCGAATTTCCTGTTTGGCGCTCTACCAACATAACTATGAGACCAAGCTAATAATCACACTATAACTTCATATTAATCACCGACGGTTTTTCGCCAGCTGCTATGTGAACCCATGATATGTCACCACTAATTCATTCGTTGTAATTCAGAGAGCTTTAAAACGTTACCACAATTAAAACACATGACTCACCGAAATTCGAGTTGTAAGCTGTAGCTGGTTAATTGTTGACTCGCCTATTTTTAATACTTACCTTTTAGTGTTTATTTTTCCTATTTTTTACAAATAGGTTTATGCATTACAAATGGAAATCAAAGATATCCAATCAGAATTTGAACAAGATCGAAACGATTACCTGGAAACTATAAGACGTCAGCAACATCAAATAAACTTACTAAATATGATCTTGGATAAGATTCAACCATGTATACGCAGAAATTGTAATTATCATGATATAGATAAGATTAAACGAACAGCCAAGTGAGTAAATTACTTTGTCCTATCTTTTTTTAAATGACTAACTTATGTAACCGTTTGAAGAAATTTGGGCATTAGGTAAATGTTATTCATTATTTTGGTATTTGTATTTCCCTATGAATATTAAAAAATAAATTTGTTTCAACTGATATTTCGTTATTTAATACTAATAGTCTTATCACAAAATTATATATGACAACTTTATGTGCTTTCTTGCACATGGATGATTTGCATTGTCAGATTGTTTAACAAAGATGATATCCATATGTAGTGTATTATGTGTAAAGTGCGTATGAATTACAGACTGAGATTTGTATGTGTGTTGTTAGTTCTTCTCGCATGTATGTTGGTTATGTTAGTATATGGGGGTGGGTTGAGAACAGGTCAAACTATGCTTTATTCACTCATTCTTCTTTCGACAATTATGATTCCACTTTATATGAAAAGATTCTGCTATGGGATGTTCTTCATAATTTCTTAAGCCTTTAAATCAACCTTGTAACCTGAAACTATAGCGTGTAGAGCTATCACTGAAACGTTTCAGGTAATTTCAGTCCAACTGAATTTCTAGGAAGTCAGCTGGTAGCCTTTCGGTGTTCGTTTTTTCTCATTTTGATTTCACATGAAGTTTGTCCTACGTGTACTTTATCGCAGTCTGAGCATCTTACTGTATAAACCCAAATAAATTGTAAATCCAGAGAAACTTCATCCTTCAAATGCACTAAGGTGCAGTGTAATGTGTTTAGTGTCTTGAAGAACACTCTGATATTACATTTGTTGAGTACTCTCCTATTTTCATCCAAGGTGTGAGATTTGTACGGAATGACTGTTGTTGAGCCCAACGATATATAAGTAGTTTCACGATTGAATTCAATATTATTTTATATTTTCCGAATGGATTTCACCAGACAATCATTCATTTTAAGTATCTTGTTCACATATTTTAATTTCTTATCTCGTTCGCTTTCATCCGTTATTAGAACGTGTGCTTTCCTTAAGAGATCAGATGCAACAGAAACCTTCGCACTAACTGAATGCGATTGATTGAGATCGAAATATTTGCTCGAATCCGTGGCTTCCTTGATAATGGTTATCCTGAAATATTCATTTTCCTTCCGTTTAACAACTGCCTTTCCTTGATTGTCTTGTCATCGATGGTTTTGCCCGACTACTATATGACTACCTGACGCGTTACTACCGTTTGATTATACTCACGCTGGCTGCACAGTTAAGACTTCTCATCCAAATCCAAATCTAACCGAATAAGAGAGGGAAAGCATCATCTTATCATTTTGATTATCTGTGATAGCCATGATTCAAATCCCGCCGTAGTCCAGATTTTCATTTCACCTTCAATTATCATCCAGTATCAATACAACCCTGCCAAACCACGGGTATCTCAGTCTAAATGATAACCAATATGACACTCCCCGTCTCCAATTCAAATAGATTTGAAATGGGACGGGAAGTCTTGACTGTGCAGCCAATGTGAGTACGATCAAACGATAGTAACTCGTCAGGAATTCATATGACAGCTGGGCTAGACCTTTACTGATTGAAGGGAAATAAAGATTTGGTCAACAGTCGCGTCTTGTAGCTCAGTTGGTACAGCATCGACCCAGAAACCTACTGGTTGCTGCTTCAAATTCTGGCAGGATACAATTTTCCATTCTACATTCAGTCATCACCCAGTACAAACTATGTAACTATTCTTACATATTCTACCCCGAGATACCTGCAACATATATCAATCAGTATACATAGTTTAAATATACTTTACAATCGTAAAACAATATGCAATGATTGTTTTGATACTAGTGTTCAACATGTTCAGAGATTATTACATCCAGGTAAAAAGCCAACCATAACGTTACTGGTTGTAATATTAAACCATAGAGAATAAAGTAGGCTTTCCGCTATAGTGTCCCATGCCGTGATTCGCAAATGATACCAGTAGTATGAGCTTTTTATCTCAATTTATATGTTATCATTGAATGAACTTTATTTTAATTTGGTCTTTCCCCATGTTTATATCGCAGTTTTCATCTCTTATTTTTTCCTCAAACAAGTCTTTAGTGGAACAGTCATATTACCTTGTCAAACGATGATATCTTTTTATAGTAAGCGTTTGGAATTAAACTCCAAATTATTTTAAAACTTTTTATCGTGTGTTACATTGGATGATATCGTCTATTCACTAAACTTTTTACACCATAAAGAAAACTTTCCAGAATTCATCTTACAGATATCCAAGAATTCGACTGACAGTTCCTGTGAGTATTTAATATATAAAGAGTACATGAAGTAGTAAAGCTCAAGGTGAACTTATGTATTTACTCACAATGGGTATTCATGTAAAATCAGCCTGGCTGAAAGTTTGGGTAAGTAACTGGCTCATTTGTCATCTCAACACCCTCTAACTGTTGTGAAGATACGTTTGATAGTTAGACATATCAAAGATTGTCATATTTGTAGTAAATGAGAACAAATACTCAGACTGTTGTCCCACCCAACAGTTTCTTCACAAATAATATGGAAGTAATCATTTCGTATTTAAGAGACATAATCACATGAAACCCATTAGACAAGGCCTGTTTTCTGGGATACTACTCCGACAACTACTTGTTTCTAGCCGATATCAGCACTATTTAGAAGCCAAAATGTTAGCAATTTTGGTGGTGGAAAACCACTTTCGGAAAGAATAAAGTTGGAACGTTTGTTAGACTGTTCAAAATAATTGCCATTAGACAACAGAGTTAGACTCAATCTCTTCAAATCACTTTCAAACTTTAGTCATCATGGTTTATTAGGAAAGAAAATACAGCAGAATTGATCTAACTAATTAGATCATATATCTTTTAGAAACGATTCTCATTTGACTAGCCACTAGCGAACAGCAATAACTAATGTGAAAAACTAAATTGAAATTCAATGCCATATGACATTCTTAGCTTTTCTCAAGACAAGTGATTGCGTACTGAAGTCTTGGGTCCCCATTCGATTAGGGATTTTTGTCACTTTTTAAGCTACCTACGTGATGGATCGGATATATTTTGCATAAATCAAGACATCGCTTATCATCACAAGACACTGTGACATGTAGATTCCTGCAGCGACTCCATTTTTCTTTCAGCTTCAATTAATATCTTCTAGTGTATGACGACTAGCCTACCAGCTAATATTGAAATCAATAAATCCCCACAAACCTCTAAACTAAATTACTATCCAATGCTGGTTACTGACTTGCTTCAAGATGAGATTCTCAGAAGTTCCAATGAGAAATCGTGGCTGGTGGGACAAACAAACCAAGTCGGAAGTGAGGAAACATAATCAGTTACGAACTGAAAGAATTAAAAAGATATGAACCATTAGATTCTGACTCAGTGGTGATGTGCTCACCATGAAACCTGAACGTCCCTGGTTAAAATTCCTGGCTGAGTCATGGGTGCCCGTTGCTGCGAGGCCCCACACTAGGACGAAACAGATGACTAGTGCTCCCATGTTTTCAATGTTTCTCCAATTGATGTCAGTTTATGATGAATACCACTTGAAAAACTTATTTTCACTTCCATGTGACCCGTCAATCAGATAAAATTTCCTGCTCATAACTTCATAGCTTAAAACTCTAATAAGGGATAGAAATAGCACTATTCTTTCTACTGTTTGGAGTACGCTTCAAAATGCTTCGGTAAAAGTTATAATTTTTAAGGTGAATTCGCTTTTTAAAAATGCACAGTCGAATAGTTGGTAGGTTTCACTCTTTCATACTTCAACTATCTGAAGAAACTAATAGTTACCTTTATCAACAAATGCAACCCAATTAGAATACAAACACTGAATTTTAGATTTTTTCTTTAATTGCGTTTGAACTAATGAACAATATTTTTCAGCTTCTTGAAATTCACTTTTTACGATTGATGTTTTAAATATTAAAATACAAATAGATTTGATTTAGAAAAAAATGAATGGATACTGCCTCCAATGACTGTTGAACGTTTACAATTACCTTCAACAAATTTGGATGATATATCTATTCAGTCTAATTCAAATCAAACAAATTTTTATGATAATCCAGAACGAAATATGATAGCAAAAGATCTGGAATGGGGAAATGAAGAAGACTCTAGATTGTACGCCAAACTGGCTAGTAGGACACAATTTCAAAATAATTATTTTACAAATCGACGTGCAAGTCAACTATTACTCAATTCAGGTAATTACATATCATATGTATCATTTTGTGTATGTTACCTTCAGTTACTCGATATCAATATCGACGGGGGGGCTGGTACGAAAGTATAGAGATTCAAGTTGACATACCTCAAGGTAGGAGAAAATAAAGTATGATCAACAACCGCGTACAACCATGAGAGCCGACCAAGTAGTTGACATTTTCCTGCATGGTTCAGCAAAACAGTCAGAGAATTCATGGACTGACAGACCTTATTCTTTATGGAACCAGATCCTATTTCAGTCAACACTGCATGACGAGGCAGATGGTAAATATGTATGCATAACATAAACTTCAAGAGGTGTTGGACAAGTGATAACTGTTACAAATCAACAACCTAGCAAATGATGTTGAAGGCTTCCAAACAATGCATTATGGTTTCCATTGCTAATAAACCTTCACGTCTTGCTATTACTGAAATAAACATTTTAAAACTTAGTATCTGCATTTAAGAGAATCCAAAGGTCGACTAGTACTCACTAACCAAACCTTTTCTTGTAATGACAACAAGTTAGAGTGGGAGAAGCATATTTAGGGAGCAATAGACATAAGAATTCCTTTCAATAAGAAAGTAAATCATAAGCTATCAGTCACAGAACCAATGAAAACAGTGGGACCCTAAAAAGTTGTTTCTTCTTAGAGTAGAACTACTCATCAGTAAAGACACAACCAGGCGCGATATTGAACTCAAAACCGTCAGGTTTAATGAGATAGACATCTAATTATTCAGCTACTGAGTCAAAATTGAAGTTTTGAAATGCTGAGAAGTCCTTAAGTAGAAAGAAACTCCTGTCAACTGCTCCCTATTTTTACCGGTTTTATAGTTGATATCGATTCTTTATTAAAATCCCCTTGGTACTGCTTCGTTCTGTGGATGTAGGTAGTCTTTCTTGCCTTTGAAAAATTTATCTACGGAATCAAATCTATGAAATCGCTGTCATTCCGTTACCAAAGAAAAAAATTTTCAATTAAACATGTTAGTAAAATACGATACAATGAGAGAAATATCTGTATGGTTGAAATGACGTTGAATTTCTCTTGTTTGTTCATCATTGTTCTTGATGTCTTCAAAAAACCTACATCTATTGTTTCCATAATATTAACAGGGTAAACATTACCACTTTCTTGTAGTAAAAAAATCCATATTCTGGGTGCCGATGAAGCTCCTTAACTGAATCTTCCTCTCCAATCTATGAAAAATACACTTTGTGTAATATATTTTTATATCATACATTATAGCTTTTACTGTTCCATTACTGTGGCTATATTGTTGCTATAGGAGACTCTTTGATAGACCTAGAGCATGCATATGACATAGTCCCGTTGGATGAATATGCTGATAAGATACATAAACTTCGTTTCACCTGAAGCGGAAGTTTCAGATGGATTTCTCACCACCTAAATGAGAATTGTTTCTCTAGAACCGGTTTCGTTGACGCCTTGCTTAACAATTGCAAGTGAAGTGCTTGAGCTTATTGATTTTTTCACTTACTTTCAAATTTGGATCAGCCCTGATTGGTCGGCGACGGAAGAAATCTCTGCACTTAGACAAAAGTGCCCCGATTAGCCTTTAATAACTTACGCCATCTATGCCACAGTCTAGATGTCGAGTTGCCTACTGAGGATCAGGTTTACAGCTCGACTGTTTACTCTGGTACAGTGTGGCTGTGAAACATTGTCACTGAGAATGGGAGACAAGTATAGGTCCCATGTCTTCGACCGCCATTGCTTTCGCAGCATTACCCGTTTATCTTGAGACTACTACATTTGTAATACAGAAATAGGTACTTCACCTGGTGAGGTTGTATACATCCATCAACTCAGGCTACAGGGATATATGCTATTCATGCTTAGTCACTATCTACCCTGTCATGCTATCCTAACTGATGTAGAATTAGGTTGGTTAAAGTGGGCCACACTAAAATGTGGCATCAGTCCATAAATTCTCTCATTTTTGTGCTCAGTAGTGTAGGGAAACATCGACTCAACTGAGATTGTTTAAAATTAAGTGGACCATTTAAACTTGCTACTTGCAGAATTCGTATCTTGAAATACCTTGAACGCCAGTCATATCTCACTCCTTTTTGATTTATGCTGGATTCGGAAAAAACATGGTTACAACATCCTAATGGATATTTTTGACTAACTTCTCTAATTCTCACCTATGAAAAGTATCTTACTAACCCAAGTATTTTGTCACACCAGTCTTCAGCTTCCTCAGTTTTAGTACTTCATAAGGTTCTAAAGCTGAAACCTTACTACTCAATTGCACACTCAATAACTCCTGCTCGCGCCACTAGGAAGGTAGTTTCAGTCAGAGTAAGAAGTATCTGAAATAGGGTAAGTTTAACTTTTTTAATCACTCACTTTGTGTTTACAGATTGCAGCTATGATGCAACCAACAGTGAATTTTACAACCACTTAGGTGACGTTAACTGACGTTATAAGGAGACTTGAAAGGGATTACTGGGCATGTTTTCTGAGGGGTGATTTATTTGAGTGACCAGTAAGGACCATTCGGTAACAACTATTGAGCTTCTTCTGCTATTCAGTCAAGGGCTAAGATAGATCATACTTAGTCCGTTAATCATGGTGCCAACTGTCTCTATGTCTAATATCTGTGACATTCTTGAACAAAGGGTGAAGAAGTTCTTGTGGTGGTGGAGATGTTTCATCCGGGGGAAACTTTATGACTTTAAAGATGGTTATATCTTTCAGCATGCATGCTACTCCCATTGGTGTCCGTAATCACAGTATGTGCTTTGTACCACTAGAGTACATTTGCGAGAGCATGTACCAATGGTTACGTAGCACAAGACAACATCATATGCGGCTCAGAACGAAAATTGTTTCCCACTATGCTATAATACACTGATATGTCCATTTTTCTGAACAGATATGGAAAACAATAAAAGGTTCTTTAATACATCATATATGACTAGGTATTTTTTTCTGATCAAGCCTTACCATTACGCACCTTCTTAGTTCTTCATACTACTATTATTGTATTATGTTGTGTAGCACACGTTGAACTATGATTCTGAATCATATGTAAACATAGTTGCAGCAGTTATGATTACTTCTCTCTATGATTTCACAGTGAAGAAGATTAGAGAATTTATTTATAATACACAAGTCTTTATCAAGCGTGGATGCATACAAATTTTAAATCAAAAATCTCTCTTACTTTTCAGTTACAAACAAATCAGATTTCACAAAATACAGGTGTCTTAACAACAATGTGACTAATCCAATGAGTTATTCCTACGGTGAAATTGCTAACAACTCTGAATTTGCATCAATTTCATCTTGTGACACTGAACCGAGTTTAAATCCGTATATGAATTCTCTAGAAGATGCTAACAGAAAACCGAAAAAGTTAAATCTCATGTCTGAAGTCCCATTCAATTCAGCCAATAACTACGGACAACTTAGACAATCACAGGACCGTGTGCAAAAGTGAAAAACCACTCAAAAATATTGTTCAAAACAAAAAAAACAATCAACATAATAAACAATAGACATCAAGATTCCCAAGAAGTACTCAAACTCCTGTCTTGTAACTTTTAGGCTCTAAACCTACAAATATGATGGTTTTTCTTTATATAAATATAATTTGCTTTAGACCGCATTTTAGCGGAATGGATTTGATTGTCATTCCCTTAACATTCATACCTACAAAATCTCAACCAATTGCTTAAAAGGCGGGACAGTTACTATAAGAGTACGGGAATGACGAAAAATTAGTATTTGAGCGACCAGTTTAGAGATAGTTGTAACCCTTGAGTAGAACGTGCTTAGTTTAGTGCCTACATGGAGATCAATACAATCGATAATGAACTGTATCCTCTTCAATGGATCAATGCTTTTTTTTGATGTTCTGCATATTGAAGATACGTGGATCAAAATCCGAACCGACAAAATTCTATGATGATCCAATTCTTAAACATGTGCAAAATTCAACTACTATTGAAAGAAGACAATACCTAACGTTAACCTTAGCGTTACAAGCAATTCTGTGGTTTTTATATCAGAAATAATTAAGAAAGATACTATCTGGGGTGAAAAAGTGTAAAGACTGACAAAAGGCATTGGTGAACCTATTGACAATACTTATCTAGATAACAGATTAACACCCGACTCCTAGAAGAGATGAATGAAATAATTGACGTTTTATGTGACGTTTCATCTATTTGAAACCCATTGACAGAAAAAGTGCGAAACTGACTTCGACTACTCTAAACCTCACTTATACTTAATAAAATAAATATAGACGACTAAGCACTAACTAGTTAGTATCTTGTGTCTCGAGAAAAATTCAAGATATAGTAACCGAATGGACTAGTTTAGTCTATGAGAAACAAAAATGGCGTGAAAAGTTTGACAACAACAATCCTAGCAGAATGAACATCAACATGAACCTGTGAAAGTAAATCATATCCCTAGGGATCATGGTTTTATCCACCTGACGGGAACCAAAAAACTCGAAACCTACCCGCATGTTACTTTCGTGAGTACTTCTAACCGTATAGTATAAGGGTTTTTATATGATACCCTTATACTGAAAACTATACCCGTCGCACAAAGAGTGGCTATCGTGGCTCGGTGGTATAGTGGATAACGCGCTGGCGTTTGAAGCGATGGTTCCCGAGTCCGAATCCCGGTGGGAAAAACATCACTCACTGGGAAGCAGGTACATGCAGCTGACGAGTCCCAAATAGGACGGAATGCGCGTCCTGGATTCCACTGCTAGCCACTATCCATCATTAACTTCTAACCTTATTTCAATATCATACTTGCCCAGATATAAAACAGCAAGCTAATAAGTGTAAACCATCATTATAAGAATATATCTTAATATAGTCCCAGCGTGTTTACAAAAACAAGATACTTCCTAACGTTTCGTCGTGTAATCCACAGCTTCTTCAGAGGAATATACGGATTTTTAATAACATCCCTGATATTTCGATAATTTAGTCCAATTTTTAACAAGATTATAGACATCCAGACCATAGTTGTTACGAATGTTCTGGTAAAAAAGGATTAAACTACTAAAATGTCAGGGATTTTAATTAAAATCCATATATTCTGCTGAAGAAGCTGTAGTTTACACAGCGAAACGTCCAAAAGTATCTTGTTTTGATTTTCTAACCATTCTGGGATTATATTAAAACATATTCATATGATGATTGAATCAGACTCGGCGCTCAACTTCTTCCAGGATATTTGTAACAACTATGGTCTGGATGTCTATAAGTGTAAAGTGCGTCCATAATTTATTCTACCATTTATCAAAGGCATCAGTCAAAACCACCATGTTCAAAATCGCATGATCACATAGTCTAAAACTAACTCAAGTATCTATTCATCACGAAGGGATCAAATCCATACTGTTGAATTTAGAGATCTGTGGGGATTTATTCACTGATTCACTGAAACCAACGAATGAATCCCCATGAACCTCCAGACTGAAGTAATCTAGTCCTCACTGGTGACTAGCTTCGTGAAGTGATTCGCGAAGTTCCAATGAGAAGTCGTGACCGGTGTAACCAACAAAGTCGAACATGAGGACAGTTAGCACTGGATGGAGGTCGCGTTACATCGTTAACTGCCAAAACGTTTATTTTTATCTATTTCACTGTAAATGAATCTCTTTTAAAAAGTTTATTATACAGAAAGACAAGTGACAATGTAATTATTTTAGACACTTGGTTAATATTCTCCATCTGTACTCTCACTCATTCTGTAACTAACTGCAATGGTTAAGCTCATCAGCTCTTCCATTTGTTGATGCGAATATGTATATAATATTTTGATTTTCAATGAGACCGTTATCACTTGCTGACTACTACATTATTTGAGCACGATTTTAATATCCATATGCACAGCACAGATGGGAGCCATAGTCTGGTCCTTTCATAACACTATTTGAATTTGCATGAAACAAGACGTTTTCTAGTGTTTCGTTTCCATATCACCATTCACATTTAACACAATAACTAAGTCAGTTTCTTCAAAGTTCACCTCTCCTTTCTTTATCCCTCCCCCTGTCTCTCTCTCTCTCGCGCGCGCGCGCGCGAAACAGAGATTATGACAACCCCGATAGCAAAATAAAAACCTCCATTTAGACAAAATAAAGAACTATTAGTAAGATGTAGAATACATAATGATCATACACTGTTTCTGAAACAATACATAATATAGTAATTTGGCAGTGATTAATGAATAATAACGTATCAGTAGTTTTAAAAAAACCAAGACAATAAATAAAGCATGCAAAACTTCACGAAGTAATATTAAGAAAAGTAAAAGGGCAATAACTTAGTCGATATTTTGCCTAGTAATGTGACAAAAAAATGAATGATTCCTTCGTGTAGTCAAGTGATGATTCATTCAACAGCACCATTTACCTCCTAAAAACTCAATTACATTATCACACTGACGTCGTAGCTTGTAGTATCCCGTTGTTGACTAGACCGAACTGATCGGCCACAATTGGTATACTGGCTCCTTCGCGAATGCCCCAGACTTTGACATTGTTTTTAGTTTGAAACTAATGATAGACAGTGGTTAGCAGCAGAATCAAAGGTGTGCGTTTCAGCCCTTTTGAAACTCATCAACTGGATGCGCCCGCCTCCCAATGTGTGTAGCTCCCACTTCAATGATCGACCGAGAACCAGCGTTTTCGAAGTAGTGTGGCCGCCGAGTGTTGGGTAACACTGGGCAACTATTTAGGCTCATTAAGGATACTGACAAAAAAATGATGGTTAGTGAAACCACCATGGAAGAGAATAAAAGGCTGTTAACCTACAAGGACAAGTGGCTAGAACACTTGGAAGCACACTTCAACTGGTCCACAGTAACACTTCAGTTGCCCAGCATCCAGCTTGAACCTCGATGGGACGTGGATGTAAGTCCGCCAACTGTCCTTCAAGTTGAGAAAGCTGTATCGAATCTAAACCGACGCAAAGCAACAGAACCTGACAGCTTGCCACCTGAAGTTTTCAAAGGAGGTAAGAAACTGCTAACTTAAGTGACGAAGGTACTGAATAGTGTCTGAGAATCAGGGGTAGTGCTGTCAGACTGATATACTTCACTGATCATCCCAGTCAATAAGGAGACGAAATCTTGTGACAACCATAAGGGAAGTGGTGTGATTAATATTGTCCAAGATCCTACAGTCTGTAGTTATCCAACGCTTGAGTGGAGCTCGAGAACAGCAAACTCGAGAAAACCAGGTAGGGTCCATCGATCATATTCTATACTCTAACAGGTTGTGGGACACAAGTATATCTACCGGCCGGTGACTGACATTTGTCATATTTCTTGATGCGAAGGTGACACGTTACTCTGTCAACCTTGAGCAGTTATGGCAGTGTCTGACTTTGAAAGGAGTACCGAGCAAGAACGTGACGCTAATCAAAGCTCTCTACTCAAACTCACGCAACTATGTCAGGGCTTACGGAGAGCTGTCATGTGAATTTACAACTAGTGGTGTCCGTCAGGGATGTCCACTGTCATTGTTCCTATTTAACTCTATCAGAGACGTACTAATGGACATGACCTTAAGTCTGACTTCCAAGTGATTGACCTACTTCCAGGAGGACATCTGGTTGACTCGGAACATGCAGACGATATTGTCCCGATAAGTGAAGACGCTGACAAGATGTAGGGTCTTCTGAACACTTTCAGCAGAAAATTAAGGGTGTTTGGCACGCGTTCCACTAGCACCTGTCAAATGTAAGATGATGCTCCACGACTGGTCTCCAACCACCCCTAGCCTAAGGATTGGGAATGAAGTGGCGGAATGTGATGACCACTTACTTGGAGAGTCGCATCAGCCCGATCGGGCTGGTTGGTGACATCTCAGCTCGGATACAGAAGGCCTGTTTTGCGCTCGCTAACTTGTGTCACCTGTCGCGCTAACTGGCGAGACATCCGACTATCTGTCAAAGGACGAGTATACTACGCTACAGTTCGTTCTGTCCTGTTATACGACTGTGAGGCATCGCCATTAACAGTTGAAGACTAGAAGCAATTACAGGGTTTTGACCACAGATATATTCATATCATTGCTCGCGTTTGGTGGAATCATCGTGTCAGCAATGTTTAGGTTAGAAGAAAGGTCCTACGCAAGACAGACAAGTTGATCGATCAGGTTGAGAATCTTAGTTGACTGAGATGGCTTGGACATGTATTGCACATACCCAGTCACCACCTACCTCAATGTCCCATATTAGGGGAAGTTGGATTCGGTTGGAAGAGGGTTCACAGTAGCCAGATCATGACGTGGCACCACTCCATAAAGTCCCTGGATGTTGGTCCAAGTCGTGTGTGGGGATTTATACTGCCTGGTTGGAGTCCCTGAGACGAGGAGGAATCAGGGGTTGAGGACTTTTGCTGACATGGCTGAAAATCGGTCACCGGTGGTGCAGATGTGTTCACTCCTTGACATCTTCTGGAGCTCGAACATTTGCACTAACCTTCATCTTCAGATTGTTCATTCTCTCATACTAATTTATCTTCTTTGATATCAGTCATTTTCTACTCACCTGTTCTTTGTGTACTGATATGAAGTGTGGGAACTTGAGCCGATCCACTTGTATATGAGGTTCTGCGTTGATTTCGTCAGTCAGTTGTTCCCACTAGGTCAAACCCAGAACCTATCGACTCAAATACCGGAGCGCTATACATTACACTACTGAGTTACGACAGTCACCTATTGTGTAACGGCTATGGCTTGATGGTAGTACCAAACTGGAACTACCAGCAATGTTGAGGTATATGCACAGTAGCCTGTATGCAAATCATGACCAACCAATCCTATCCGATCAATGATAGGGAATTACAAACTATAACATTAGGCTAAACCTGTCGCACAATAAGTGGTTATTGTAACTCCGCAGACAAGCGGATGACATTCCGTTATTCGGCGAGGTTGGTTCTGAGTTGGAGCCTAAGTAAGAACATCACTCACCAGGAGGTAAGTACATCCAGCTGAAGAGTTTTAAATAGCAGGAACTACGAACCCTGGACCTAACTGCTACCCAATATCCACCATCAGCACCAAACAGTGGCATAGTTTTAAACGTCCAGATGGGATCATAAGAATCAAATATCGAAAACGAACACCCACCAATCAGTATACCTACTTCTGCATTCCATTTCTTGGTAATGTAAGTGAAATCTAGTGATATGTAGTTATTTGAATAAGCGTTATTTACGAAAATGAAGACAGGCTTAATGGTATCCACGATCTACGCAGTGGGAACTCAGATCAAGAGGAATTACCTAAACAAACACATAACCTTATCAAAGACAGAAATCAGTTTCGAAAATTTCAAAAGACCCTGTTCCGGAATTCAGAGTTCACGTATAACATGCTCATACACCTCGCCAAAACGCCTTTAATAAAGATATTCAATTCAGTACACCAATGCTACTTATTTTTCAATTGGTCAACACCGATTTCGACAAACTGAACGGATTTGGTTATCATACTCATCTCACTTTACTTCGTTTCGATTTACATGTTCCAAGTGTCTAGGACTCAACTCAACCCTTGACGAAGTTGTTTGGCTTACTGGTTAGCATTACGAAAACCACCAACTGGATAACCTGTTTGCACTTTCATAACACTTATGGTGACGCATCTAACGAGAAATGTTAAGCTTCTAGGCTTCACCCCATGTAAGTTTCAATTGCTGAAGAGTGCTAGCCTGTAAAGAAAGATATCTTCAGCGTCTTCTGATTTTAAATAACCACTTCTTGTCAATGTCACTAAAACTGTCTCCAAAACAATTCTACTGTATAGCTTTTTAGTTTTTAACTGCTTCCTTCCTAATTTCTATCGTTTATCATTCTTTTACCATAATAAGATTGATATGTTACCGCTGAATAATAATACTGGACAACTTTTTATTAGTGAATCGGTGTATTATTTTGTATTATTCTAAAGACGTTAAATATTAGTGTATAGCCGTGAAGAGATGATAAAAAGAGATTCATCGGTTTATCCCCTTCCCTCACCTAATCTTCTGATTTTATGAGCTTTAATTGTCCTTCTAATGGCACCTTAAGTAGGTTAACTACCACGATAGGTTACTTGATAAAGAACCGAAATTTCGCCGTATACAACCTTTAGCCAACTTTTGTGATTTACTAAGACACAGGAAGAACTATGTATTTATTCCCTTCCGTAAGTTATTTTCAGGTCCGTTGAGGATATTAATACCTCAAATTCAGGACATTCATAGTTTGCAAAGATGCGTTTTTATAAATACCACTTTCTTTATTTAAGTTTTCAAACAATTCAGTATCGAAATCAAAACCTGTTAGTACAATATGAAACGGGTAACTGTTTCTAAAGGCGAATGAAATGAACATAAATACTATGATCGCGACTAAGAATGTTCGCTTAACTGAGTACTCAACCATGAAATATAACAACTTGAACTATTATATTAGTGTGCTAGGTTGTCTACCAAACTCAAATTTCCCTGAATTTTATAAGCATATACGCTAGAAAAAGACCCGAAAAACTATCTATCCATTTATACTATTATATTAAAATAAACAATAAAAGAAATTAAAAATGTGTTCACAGCACAGTAATGAGTAATACACAAAACTAAAGTAAATATTCATTAACAGAACAATAGAAAACAAGGTTGGCAGATATTCATACTGAATCCAAAATGAAAAAGTAAATGGTTCAGCGCAGTCCTTTTCGAAGAATCCATTCACTTAGCTATACAATCGCCGAAAACAACCTATTCGATTAAACACCTATTTTTTCACTTTCTTATAAGTCCTTATGGGAATTTTCTCGAGAATGGAGTCATAAGTACCACAGTTTCTAAAAGCCATCTGTTAACCAGATGAACATAATACATATGCATGATTAATGTCAACGAGTTATGAGACAAATGGTGTAAATATTTGGAATGCAAACTATAATACAAAACTAACATCTTGCAAGTTGTATACCACCTTGTCATTCGCTTAGTATTCCCGTGGTAGATGGGTTACAAACACTCGAAGAGTCTGTAAATGAAGATTTGGGTGGATTCACATCGGTTGGCAGCTGAATGACCACGCTGGACTCTTTCGGTTCACCTTTCTCCAACTTCTGTGTTTCATCAGAACCCACTAAGTTTGGCCATACAGGGAGTTCACTTGTTGCAGAAGCAGAACCTTCACTTTTCATAAAGCGTTCATTTAAGGCCTTCAAAGCAATGCGTCTGAAAATTTTTTTACAAGGTAACCCATGGAAAAAACATGAAGCAAAGTCAATACGTTTTGTAGTGAATAAATACTCAAACTAATGGGAAATAAGGTAAATACAGTGCAATGTAACTTAACTTGGTACAAGTTGTGTCAAACTATGAGCCATAATTATCGTGTAACAGTATATGATACTGCTCGGTTGTCGAAGAGGACGAAGTGGATGAAATAAGCAATGAATTCCGAACCCATCAATCCTCTGAAAGTCACGCTAACACACTAAACAGCCATAGCAATCAGAAACCAATAAATGTGAGGAATGTCTTTCGCAGTAAGCTGTCTCTACGTCCTATGGTTACAAAAGCAAGAGCTTTATCATAACAAGAGTCAATTTTGTAGGCTTTGTAGGCGAAGCAATATAAAATTATCATGGTGAGAATGACATACATATATTAAGTGTAGTAGTAATATCTGATAGGGACAGACAGCAGGAGTCCGATTAACTGTAATTATTAGGGTCTTAATAACTTGTTATCAGAGTACAGGGGTTGCATACGTTCTTGGATAAAAACAAAATTCTCCAAGGTTTAACCTCGCCTACGTAACTAGTTCGCTAGTTACTAGCCAGTCCTGAGCTTGCATAAAGAGTAAAGGTTGGGCATAGGGCTGGACACCCGACCCCCGAAAATCAATATAACCGCTAAAGAAACTTCAAAGCATGAAGAAAACATTTTTAAATCAACAAATAAGTAAACTTATACCTCGATGGAATCCGAGAGGCGAAATGTCACCAGTTGGTAAAAGCAATCGGGAAAGCCTTCGGTCAACGTGTCTTCTCTTCTCTCGATGAAAACGAAAGTAAACATGGGGACATGCAATGTCCGCACCATGCTCAGAACTAGCTAGGCTGCCCACATTGCAAAACAGATCAGAAGGTATAGCATAGAAGTGCTAGGAACCTGCGAGGAATGTGCAAATAGAATGGAAGTGGATTCACCAAACTGTCAACTAGAGAGGAGTCAATAATCTACTCCCATATTGTCACCCAGACAACAACCACGAGAACACTCAGTTTTGGAGTGCCTAGCATGATCTCCCCAACAGCATCAAAGGCTCTCTCTCATCCAGTGGGAATCAATCTCCTCCTGCACGATCAGCATCATGACAGCAAGATGGATTCAAATCAGAAAGAAGGAAAGTCACAGTCATACAAGGCTACGCTATGCACCTACAAATGATGCAGATGAAGAGAAGAAGGATGAATTCTGCAGACAACTGCAATTAGTAATAAACAGGACCCCTCCCCACTTGGTGACATCAAAATTCATTCCAACGGGTGGGGTGACATGAATGCCAAACTCGGAGCAGACAACACACGAAGAGAACCAATCATGGGTCAAGAGGCACTCGGTGAAATTAATGAGAACGGAGAACTGTTTGCAGACTTCTGTGCACTCAACAATTTGGTGATTGGAGTCAGGCAGTGTGTACAAACACAAGGATAGTCACAAAGCGACATGGATTTGATCTTACTAGATGGACACACTACACTAAAAATCAGATCGACTTCATCTCAATCTCAAGAAAGTGGAGACGCAACCCACTGGACACAAGATCAGATCGAGAAGAGGAGCAGATGTAGGTCGTTCACATCACTCACTATCTAGTCCAAGAAACCTACCTACAACATCAAGTTGAAAGCATTCACACAAGTTAGTGATGATTGAACACAGTTCACGTCCAACACGCAGAACACAAACTGAAGCATGAAACTACAAAGGACATCTTCACGTCGTCAGTCATCAGAACAAAATAGGAGACATTGAGCAACATCCCTGAAGAAATCCGAGTAGAAGAACAGTGGTACTCTTTGGAAGAGATGTGGAAAGAAACCTGCATAACCATACTAGGAAGGAAGAAACAAGACAAGGAATGGAGTTGCTCTCGACGGACACATAGAAGCTGATAGAGCAGGAAGAGGAAGATAGTGAAGCAGAAAATGAACCAGTGCAGTGAAGTGCAGTGCAGTGCAGTGCAACGCAGCTCAGGGGTGAACAACGAAAAGATGAACTGAACACAACCTATAAAACACTACACTGGACAAAGAAGTGAAGAAGAGTGAACGCGCAAAAACAAAAGACACTTACTTCTACGACACATCGGCAAGTGAAGCAGAACAGGCTACAGGTAGGAGACATCTGACAGCATCATACCAAATAACCAAAATACTATCTGGGAAGAGATTAACACAGACAAAACCAATGAAAGATAGTGAAGGAGACCCAGCTACCAAAGAGGAGGAACAAACGAAACAATGGGTTGATCACTTCAAAAATCTCTTGAATCGACCACCACCACCACCACCATCTGCAACTCGTCCAGAAATATCACCAGCAACCACAGAATTACCAGTGAACACAAGCCCTACGAGAAAAAAAGCAGGACTGAAGTCATGAACGCCAAGCAATAAAGTTCCTGAAATCCGAGTAAGCAGCAGGACCAGATGCAATTCCTCCAGAAACACTGAAAACAGACACACAGACAACAGTGGACATGCTCACACTACTACTGCAGAAGGTTGCCAAGGAAGGAACAAAAGGTACCTGTCCATTGATAGGAAGAAGGGCTACCTTGTCAAACTTCCAAAGAAGGGAGACATAAGCCTGTGCAAGAACTGTCATGGAATCATGCTGCTGTCCACCCCAAGCAAGCAAAATATTATGCCACATTAGAGTGGAGAGACTAAAAGATGCGCTCGATTCAAAATTACGACCGAAACAGGCTGGCTGGCTGGCTGGCTTCTGGAAGTACAAATCATGTGCGGAACAAATTGCAACGCTACGCATTATCATAGGACAGAACATAGAATGGTAGTCAACTCTCAACCTCAACTTCATCGACTTTGAAAACACCTTCGACAGCGTCGACCGAGAACTAATTTGGCAGTTGCTTCAACACTACGGTTCTAGTGCCACTAATCTTTACCAACCTCATTCAACAGCTATATGAAGACGCCATATGCCAAGTGATCCACAATGGAAAGCTCAGTGATGCCTTTGAAGTGGAGACAGGAGTATGACAAGGCTGACGTCCAAGACCACTGATCATCTTTCTGATTGTGGTGGGCTGGACTGGATCACGCAGCAAACCGTGAGGAGTGAGAAGATGGGCATACGCTGCTGGACTGATGAAAAGACCCTAGAAGATTTGGATTTCACCCATGATGGTGATTTATGTCTAATGTCTTGTCGCACAAACTCGAAGATCTACAGGCCAAAACTAACAAGTTTACAGAAGAGTCGGGGGAAACAGGACTTCAAGTGTATGTAGAGAAGATAGAGGTGATGAGGATACCCAACCAACAGCAACAACAACAACAAGCACCAATCACCATCAACGGGAGAAACTTAAAGGAAGCTATCTCTTTCACCTACCTACTCACGAAGGCAGCATCACTCCAACCACAGGCGACACAGGCACACATCAGGACATCAAAACCACGATCGGAAAAGCAAGGTAGGCACTCATTTACCTGAAATCAGTGTGCAGATCTACTGCACTACACTTCACTCAGCATAAAGCGTGAACAACATCCAGATTTTCAACACCAATGTCAGTCAAGTCAGTGTTTCTATGTGGTAGTTCAGAGACTTGGAGCGTCACCAAAAGCACTTCCAACAAACTACAGACATTCATCAACAGCTGCCGCCTACGCTAGCTCACTCGATACTGAAGATGAGATCAGATGGCCAGAATAATAAGAATAAGCAAGGAGGAACTCTGGTCTACCAAAGAACCAATCAGGAACCTATAGCCCAATAAATATGCAGAAGAAAGCGCAGATGGATTAGATTGGACATACACTGAGAAAACCATTCAAGGACATCACACGTCAGGTCAAGCCCTCGAGTGGAATCCAAAGGGGAAATGACGAGTTGGGCGTTCGAGGCGAGGGTGACATGGAGGAGATCATGTGAGGAAGAAACGAGAGCTTGTGGGCAGTGGTGGAGCCAGGTTCAAAAGACTGCAGAGAACAGAGTGGAATGGAGACGTGCTACTGAAGCCTTATGTTCCCCTAGGAACCCAAGGGACAAATAATAATAATAATATCGAAGGTTTATTTTTTGCTTTACACCTTGTATAACCTGTTATCAAAATGAATGTTTGAATGTAGTTTTATCATATATAAAATCTGTCACTGTCATCACTATATTTAAATCTATTCACACTATTTGTCATCTAAAATTAGAACAGACATAGAAACTAGAAAAAATTGGTTTCTATTGATTTACAAGAGCTCCGATATCAACAGGACAGAAATATACTGTCCTTAAGGATAGACAGATACTTTCATACATAAGGTAAGAATTAGGACTCCCAAAACTCACCGGTGCCTCTCAGAGTCAGGAGATATCAATCCATGCGAGATAAGTCCAAATGATGATGCCATGGTAACTTCGCTGTTTCGTCTTAGTGAAGGGAATAATTTACTTCTCAGTAGAAGCTGATAGCATATATTGATAGGAAAAGAGATTGCTTTATCGATAGGTTCAGGAAACAGCCTGTTAATTAACGAATATGGATGACGAGAGAAATAGAAACAGTAGTGAAGTATTAACATAGCCCGTTACTAAAACAGTAGTGCTGTGATCACAAAATTAACAGTTACAATTCTTCAACATTATCTAGACTCCATCTCACCCACTGAGAACAGATAAACGATAACGGAAATGTACAGCAGCTTAAACGAAATCATAAGCGACGGCTTCTCTTCAAAACTCAATGTCACCGAAAATAACAAGGTACAACTAGTCGGTAGCATACAAATTAACACAGTATTTCTATTCTAAATTTTTCAATATAAGCGGTAAAATGTAAACAATGAAAAATGCCACATCCTATTTCTTGTCACCTTTGTGATGTTTAGTGATCAGAGGAAATGGTATTACTCGTCCTTTCCGAGTGATTAACCCAACTACTACTTCGAAAAGCATACTTTTAAGTTCACTTACCTTGTAAATCATAGAAAAATAACTACGCACATCATCGATCAGACAACTTTTTCCAAACTGGTTACTCAGAGTAAGTAGAACTCAATTTTCAAGATAATTCACTACCCTAGCTCAAGCTTTTTGGCAACTGCAAACTGTAGTTAGCAGACCAAATGTCAGGATAGTAAATAGGAAAAAACTAGTAAGTCATTGCAATATAAGGAAATTAAAATCAAATATCCTTGCTTGACCACAATGTGAACGCAAACTAACAATCAATATCAACATAAGACCAGGCATTACTGCGTAACGGTCCGAGTTGCCACAGCTCAGTACAGTACAACAAGTAGTTAGTTTAGTTAGTTTACCAAGCTACTTGCAATGACTGCGGCGTCAAATATATAAGTGAAAGCCATCGACCAGGATCAATAAGGCTATCTGAGCACAAAAACCTAGCTAGGTCAAAACTGGTAGATCTTAGTTAGATAGGAAATTTAGAAAAAAGCTTGGCAATAGTTATGCATGCAATTACACACAACCACACAATAGAACGGATAGGTAAGGCGACAATCCTTAAAATTAATATAGCAGGTTGAAGGGAGAGATTGATAACTGAATCTTTGTTTATCGAATCAACACCTAATACATGCAATAGGAATGACTCAGCAACTGTTCCGGTTATATGGAAAATCTTACCACCCATATCACGAGGGCGAGGTATTTAAGGACTATTTAAAGGATGTCTCAAAGTTGTGGAGTCATCTTGATATGACCATGTACAATAAATGACGTCTGAAACGCAATCAATCAATCATTATCAACATAGGACCAGGCATTACTGCGTAACGGTCCGAGTTGCCACACCTCATATCAGCACATCAAGTAAAAAGGTAGTGAGGTGAAGGATGAAGATAAGAGGATGCAGTCAAAAGAAATATTGAGTACGAGAAGGAAGGAAAGAGGGATGAGAAAATGGTGAGATTCGGTATAGCGTCATTAAGATGAGGATAATGTGTGTATACATCTGAGCCACTGACATCGGTTCTGAGCCATATCACCTAGAGTCTTCAACCACTGGTTCCTTTTTTCCCGCGGACCCCAACCACCTAAGAGCACCGCACCACCATTCTTGTATACCTTAGCAGGTAGTCCGTCTGGTCCTGCTGCCCTTCCTCGTTTCAGGTTACCTACTGCTTTCTTAACTTCTTTTAGTGTTGGGAGACCTATCTCTATGCCCCAAACTAACAAGCCATTTTGAAATGATGGAAAAAATTTGAAGCTCAGGATGAGGCCTAAAGCGCTTCTCTAAGCTCGGAAATAAGAAATTCGCTGGTCCGAGAGCTCCCACTCGAGAGCAGCTTTTCTTCTCACACGAATGTTTACGGAGGAGCATTCTACCAAAAAAAGTTAGATACAGACCCCCATCGACTGCACAACTGTGGCAGAAAAATGGTGCGACTGATGATAGCTGATGCATACAACAGATTAACCAAATACAACAAGGTAATTACAACTCAACAACAAATAATGGAACCAATAATCGGAACAGATATGATGAGCAAATTGCCAGCAGCCATCAAAATAACAACTAAGACCAAAGGCGAGAAGAGAAGACAAAAGTTGAATGATAAACCACTCAAGCTATCACAACCAACAGAGAAAAGATTAAAAGGCGAATATGTAGTGGATCTCTCGCAACACTCATTATCTAAGACAATACGATTTACTTTAGAAGGGACTGACCTACAACACTGGAAATGCAAACAAACTTTATTTCTGTGCTTCTTTGGAGTCTGCACTAGAAACCTCAGGATTAGATGTTGAGCAACAACAGGAACTACGTCAATCAATTGTACCTCTAGTGAAAATCAGAGGGAATCAACACCTATTAAACACAAAGGAAAGAAATGCACTGAAAGCACTAGTGATTGACTAGACAATTAACAAGCCGGCTACCTACATAACTAAATGCAGGTAGCACATCACTATTACTCTGCACTGACTATTACATTCGCGATTACAATTGCCTATTTTATATTAACTAAGACTACTGGTCAAAAGAATAGTTGTTTTAATAAAAGAAAATCTGTATGCAACTGAAGATGAAACATAGAACGGTACACAGCGACACACTTCCCTAAAAGCAGACAAATGCAACTCAAAGTCGTTCTTACTACACTCTGTATATAATGGGATACTCTAGACCTGTCCATTGTCACTTATCAACTCAGTACTTCACTATACATTATCTGGTTGTCAATTTCAAATATCCTGCAACGAGGCTGCCTACTAAGGGTTGACTGTAGGACAGAGCAATTTTTCTCTACGCAAGTGGATGGATGCGAAACACGGTCACTGAAGGTTGAGGACATGGAGATGCAGATGTTCGACCACCATTACCGACATATATATATATATATATATATATATATATATATATATATATATATAATCTAGGTATCGTTACCAAAACGTTGACAATCTCTATTCTATTTTGTCTACCATCTGAACACACAAGCACTATCACCAGACCTCCCAATAAATTCAGGTGTGCAGTACATGCAGTTCTCAGTGGAAAAAAGTGATTGTTTATATCAGCGAAACATTACTAACTACGTGGCTACATTTTCGTATACTGCAGTATGTACTACGCCCCTAAGATGTGTGCAACTGCGCATTTGCACAATATTCAAGTTTTTAGTCACCAAAAAGTGGACGACTCTTGAGATCATGATGAGTGATAATCACTATAGACACATGGTTTTGAGGAATTTTCGCACTTTTATATTGTCAGCTGCATGATTCAATCTATCCGACTAGATGTTATGTCATGATTGTCTACTTATTTTAGTCCGAGGTTACTGTAACCTGGTTTATGGCATATAACAGAAGGGGACTCACCTATCCAGAGGCAGATGATCTCTGGGTCGGTCACAAGATGTTTTCTTAAGAGTGCCTCCTCTGTATCCTTTCTAATAGGTCATATGAAAAACTCGTAGATAACTTTACCAAACTCTCTGAGAACGAGGAGATAGCACCAACCAATGGTCACAATTTAAAATACATAAAGATTACTGTACGAAGAATGAAACTCTAAAGACAAACCTGGTAAATGAGAATGAAGAACGATAGTCCCCTCTTCTTCCTTGAGGATGTCGTTGAAATAATCGGAGGTAACACCAGCTACATATAACTCCATTACAGAATAACACAAAGGATGAAAGTCTGATTAGTCCCACTACCTTCAAAAAGCAATATACAAGTAATACCAAGAAAAGGCCATATTGAGATTTCATACTAAAAGCTTTACAGTTGATAATCGGTTGCTCTGGACGCAACTGAATTATAACTACGAGTACAGACGAAATAAACGCAGAACCACCATTGACCTGAGGAATAGATACACTAAACCCACCTATAAACTGAAATAAATAAGGGAGATAAAAGACGAAAAGTGATGTCATGTTCACAACCCAATAAAAGAATGCCATCTCAACTTTGCTCCATGAATCAAATACAAGCTTAGTGTAAATGAAAATAGTCAGTAGCATCATAAGAAAGACAACTATCTCATCGGTTACCATATGGAAAGTAAGGAGTTTGTATACATCCTGCTTACTAGAAAAAGGAAGAGATAGCGAATTCACAAAAGACGGAGTTAACAATCCACAAAGGAATAACGACGAATAAAGTGTACACAAGCATAACTGCGTGTATCGAAGCTTTAAGGAAGTCATGTGTGATATAACCTGGATATAAATCAAAACTGAAAGCCTGTAACTGATAAACAGGTAAATCAGTGCATAGATTAGGAGTGCGAGTCACTGGACGCAATTATGATTTCGCGCGAGTGAGATAAACCGTAACCTCTCATTGTTCTGATTGGTCAAGGCAGTATTGCCCTCAAAAAAACAAAAGCGCTGGTTTCTAATATTGCTTCCAATCTTGCTCTAAAAGACACCCTAAGGGCTAAATTGTTCCGAAGCTAAGATGACTAACACATGCTGTGAAATGGGTGAAAATGTGATTTATTTTACAGTTCTTGTCATTTAAACTTGCAGTGGTATACCAGGTTTGACCATATGGGTAAACTTTCTAATAAGCCACCTGTGACCAACAAACTACGGTACATAGTGGAGTGGCTGTTCAGCCAAGTGAAGTTGACGGGGATGTGTGGGTAAACTATGCTCTTTTGAAGTCATACTGTATGTTGAATGATGGCGTAGCATCACAACTTCTCTATAATCAATAGCCTAGGGTTCGACGAGATCCAACATTAAGATTGACCTTCGTAGTTTTACTGGACTCCCTAAGTTGAAGGTACCCGGTCAAGCATCCACGCCATTTGGCACGCTGTCGTGTTACGTTGCACCACTTTTAATCGACCCTGGAGCCAGTTAGTTGGAAAGCATCGGTATCTTGGCACAACGTCGCAAATATACTATTCCATCCGACTAAGCCATTGTCTTCTTCCCTGGTCTCTTATTCATGGGTATATTACAAGTACGAATAATTAGTGATTGGCCATCGCACCAGGACAATTCATAAAATGGTTAAGAAGACTGCATCTTGTAAGTTATATGAAAGTTCTCCATTTTAAGAGGCAACCACAAGCAATATTATTCTATGAATTTTGTGAGAAAATGGTCTTGTAGTTCTGTGGGATATTCTGATGAAGTATTCTCCCTCCCGGAAAGTTTTGTGTTGCTAGACTGATCGTATTTCGGTAACGAAGCAGTTTTTGCCCATACTAAATAAGTCTCTATAATGAGCGCGTCAACGAAATGGCCTACAGCAGCTTGGCTGTCTAGACGTCGAACAGATAACCATCCAATATACTGACTGTGCATCAACAATGTGGATTTCATTTTTCAGCGTCTGAAGATACTTCGAGGCAGATGGGATGAACTTATCTGGGAAAGCAAAGCATGGCCCCCAGAGAACAATGAGGAAAGTGTTGTAATAAGTCTGCCTTTCCTTTCCTTGATTCCCCAGTATATTTCGTAGTTTCCCAAAATTTTGCATACTTCAAGGGAGGTTGTAGTTCACCACACAACTTCATGAATTTCACAATCTTAGGTCTACTAACCCTTACGTTCCCACTAACTGCAGCTTCCCTCTAGAACGTTACGCAAATGAAAGTTTGTAAGCTTCCTGTGAATGTATATGTAACACAAAATGTCTATGCATAATGGTGGTGTTGACGGTAGCATCAAGGATAATTGCAACAAAAAGGTTTACACTGTTCACAGAAATAGTCATTTTGATCATGTTAGCGAACCACCGTAGTCTCATGCACTTTATTTCAAGAATAATTTGTGAATAAGTAGGCTAGTCACACTGCTGTTAAGAAAATTATTCCTTTCCCTCCGTCTGCGTATGCTGTTTTGTATGTCCTTTGAGTAGCCCTGAGTAACTACGTCTAACTCGCAGTGAACTTCTCTCCCGCCTAGTCCACCATCCTTTGTGAAAAGCTGAGTGATATGTCTTAAAAATATGCCCCGCGGTCTTGTAGAATCAGCGTTTCATGCAGCTCATAATTGCATGTACTGAAATCAAATCCCCGGTGTTGATGCTACTTTTGTCCTGAACCTTACGTTAAGCCTCACTGAATTCATCAAGCTTTATTAGAGCTGAGCTGAACAGTCACTGACGAAAAATTCTTACCTCCCTTTTCCAGATGATGCAGGCAAAGTTAAGCCGCAGGGGATGAAAGACCCGTATGGAGATCGCCTGTGAAATGTCTTCCAGATTTTCGTCCTGAGATAAGTCGCTAAACGGAGACCGTAACACACAGATCTCCGGGCATTTCGTCAATGGAAGACGTAAAACACAAGTGCCGTCTACCCATCACTGATGGCTCATGTGATTTCCCAATAGACTCCTATAATTATGTATGCAAGTCTGCCTTTCACATTTCTTGCGCAGTCCTAAAGGGAGAAATGAAGTGATTCGTTGCCAAGCTAACTGCATAGTTCCTCGCTATTAGTCGCTTGATATGCTCTTGCATCACACGCCCATCCGATTCTGCCTTACAGACCAGATGGATGTAACAGCTCACTTTTCACGTCATAAGCTGACCAAATAGGCATAATACTGGTCTCACACGGCTACCGAGCTTCATCTCGAAGTTAGAGGCATCCAACAGAGTCCTAGCGTCTGATTCGGTGGAAGGAATTGGAAATTCATGCGTTATACATGGAAGATATATTTCAACATGTATTCTGTAAACAACGAGTTCAGAATTGCCGGGAACAAAGGCCACATTTTCCGTGTTCCAAGTCTTCAGACTGTAAGCGGAAGGATTTGGGATCTGAAAGGAAACAGAAGTCGAGATTAAACAGCTGACACGGAGCAACGTTAAGAAGTTGGAATTTGTCAATACCGTTACCAGTACCTGCCTTCCATGCATGTTTATATTGTACCAGCAAGTTCGCAACTCGCGTTCCATTTACACGTGATCTGTTAAATCATAACTTAAACGTTGCCAATCGTTTGATTTTTGACTTTTGGCTACATCACAGAACCCCATGATATCCCTGGCTCCCGGTGAATCAATTACCAGATACCGTTCCTGGTATCAACCTGTCTGCGTAATAACCTTTGAAGATCTCTTGTTAGTTACTTTAATGGAGAAACATTTCCCTGGTGAGATACCTACCCCAGACTATCCACACAATAACATAATAATGGGACGCAGTGGGGCCTAAAGATCCCGACCAGATACCTTGAATTAAAAAACGGTGCCCCTCACACTTATTCGAAACGCAGTCTCCAAACTCTCCGAATAGGCCGCAACCTCCTCTTGTAGGCATAATTGATGTTGGCAGGGTCCTTGATAGCCTGGCAAGTTACAGTGCAGTTAAAATCCCTGAGCTCAGCACGATGCCAATTAAAGTTCATACTGTACTCGAGCAGCTTGCACTCATTACTTATCTTTTTGGTCTACACAAAGATATAGACGCTGGAGAAGTACTAAAGGCCGAAACTGTAACTGATTTCATCGCCTCCGGAAAGTCTACCACTAACAAAGGCAAAGGCTATGATCTTAGACGGCAGCAGTGTGTCACGAGTTACTTGTGACTGTAAAAGGATTCAAATGACCGGTTTGCAGTTTCACATGCCCCACCTTATTCCAGCTTACACCATCTCTTGATTGCAAACAATTCGCTTTGATGGGCAGCAGTGCTAAACTCCAAAACATGTTTGGACGTATTAAGACAGCTCAGGATCGAACACCACATCAGAGGAAGGAAGTGAAATGCCGGGTTGTACTCAACAACAGTGTATCCACTACGGAGCAAGTAATAAGTGGCACATCTAAAATTAATGTCTCTGTCCAACATTGTCTTGGTAAAACACCTGACTCTGAAAGCCTTATGCCGGGTACCACCAAGTGTTAAAAACTAGATAAGATGATACAAGCCAGCCTATACAGTCGGTTATTAAGTGCGAAACTCACGCGTATACAGCACCCTGTCAATTCGCATACCACTCGGGGACGAAAAATACTTCTTGCACTTACTGATAGTAACAAACGTACTCTACCTGTAGGCCTAGGCTCACCCCCCCTCTAGCCGAACAATACGCCAGTTCAGATGTCGTAGCAACAGGAAGATGCAAGTAAGTACCTGGAGCAAGAAACCCTTTATGCCAAAGCAAACTGCTTCCTTTGGAAATAGCAGCTCTGAAGCGCCATAAACCAGTAGAATGAACACATCCGTTGTGCCAAATGAAAATAGCACTACGAATGAAACCAATAGGACCCAAAAAGGGACCTCCAACAACGACTGTATTCGATACAGGCCGGGCAGCAGAAGTACATGCCTGAGGAATGATCGGATGAAATCTGCGGGATCTTCTTAAATGTTTGCCTAAGAGATATTTTTTCTTCCCGGAGGATGAGAACTTGAATTAGACATGTATTTATCCACCATCATTATCCCAAACTCCTATCTTTTCAGTGGGAACAGGTTTTCACATGTACAGTTCTCGATTCTATACAGGTCTTTCCAGGGGACAGAAATATTTCCGGCCTCTTTGTTTCACGTCAAATTTTCAAGTCGCCGGCATATAATAGTGAATGATAATTCACGGAGATGGAGAAGCTGTCGATGCATGCGGGGAATAGAAGGTCAAGAAGTAAAGCTCGAAGCACTCCACTCCCTTTTGGGAACCGAGTGAGCAAAGAGGAGTCCACCCAAGTGGTCATCTCGGCCATTGAAATAGTTCTTCAGCCAACTCAATAACTTTCTACTCATACCGATATCCTGAAGCTCCCTACCTAGTAGATCCTACCAAAATTTGTCACATGCCTTCGAGAGCTCGGATGGTCAAATTGAATGTGCTTTTCCTTTTGGACAAAGGGACCCCAGCAATTCAAAAGAATTAGTAATCTACCGTCAAGCGACATGTCAGTCAGTGTTGTGTTCCCCAGATAATTATCATGAAGTTGGTTGTTCACCACTTTCTCTACAGCCATCACAACCGAAGATACCATGGCTGCCGTTCCGTAGTTAAAAGTGGTAAGTTTGTGCTTATCTCAACATACTGTATTTATTACGGTTTGCCTCCAGTTAGGATGCGACGCAAGGAAGTATACTACTTTGACTCAAGGTGCCTTTTCACACCTTTTGACTACTGTAGTATGAAAGCTATCAGCTCCTGAGGATTTTTTAAAGCTGTAGCCATCAAAAACCTTCCTGACTTTAAAGGGCTGAAATGCCAAGGAACTCAACCCCCAGCAGCTACCACACCTAACTAACGTGAGATTGTCGCCTCCGCTTGACAGCAGCTACGTTCGAGCTGGTGGCTTAGCTTACTCGGACCTAATATCGCGAATCTCAAAACTATAATCACATCGATGGTAAGTGAGAGGTT